GATGGGGGAAAAGCAACATTTAGAGCTGAGGTTTCCCTAACAACAACAACAACAAAAAACTTGTGTTTTTAGTGAATCCACCATGCAAAAGTTGGCTAAATTCATGCTCGATCCTGATGCGCCTAATGCAACTTCCACCTTGATTAACGGCGTTTCCATCATCATTGATATCATGTCGACATAATAATAGTGATTTGGAAGTGATCCATCGGGCGCAGGTTTATATGAACTACCAGCAACAACAACAGCAACAACAGCAGCAGATTCGAAATGCTCAGTATCTTTTAGCCGATATGTTAAAAGTCTGGGAGATCAGTTTGCCGAATTCACCCATTTATTATTAAAACCTCGATCCGTCAATGGACCTATTCGTACCACGTAGGCGAATTAGAACCATTAGATTTGAGAACGATGAAAGATTTGTGAACTCTTTGCTGAATTGTACATTGTTCCAACATGTCCAATTTAAATCATTTCTCCATGACAATGACAGAGGAAGCTCAATTAAACACAGAGGAAGAGAAAAAACCTGCACAGAGGACAGGAAGGAGGAGGAGGAGGAACTTTCGGGGGTGATTATCTTAAAGCGAAATTTGTGAATAATAAGGCCATGCCAATCTGTGTTGTAAGTATAGAAAAGAAAAAGAAAAAAAAAAGGGGGGGGAGAGTGATAAGGCTAATCTCACTAACTTGTTTTCCCCCACCCCCCTCTCTCTCTCTCTTTAAAGGATTTATTCTTTTCATTCCCTTGGAACAACTTTTTGCATTATGTTATCTACGATATGCTTCATCAAGTATTTAATGGACGTATGGATGTTGGTTTAAATCGCAGTCTTGCTATTTCTATTCTCAAAGATGGTAAATTAACCGATAAAATCGTACAAGCACAAAAATCCAACGATCTTGAATGGTAAGGATAACCCCCCAAAAAAAAAAATTGAGTATGAAAGTGTTTATGTATGTTAAATAAGAGGAATTTTTTTTTTTTGACATGTGTAGTGCTAAACCAAAGGGAATGCGTGCTGGATACATGGGTCATTTAACATTTATCTCTGACGAAATTATGAAATTATTTGAAGGATACCCTGAAACCATTGTATTAGCTATTAAGGACGACATTGATTTAGAAGGTTGGTACGCTTATTGCAACGGCGAATTAAAAGAGACAAAGGATAGAGATCAGTTGCCTTTGGGTGGACTACGACCCAATGATGAAATGGACGTACCTCAAAGCGATGAAGAGGACGATGATGATGCACTGGAAGGTGTTGCAGCCAGTCAATACTCTCGTTTCTTGGCTCAACGTGGTGAGGAAGGTACGTTTGATGACGAGGATGAAGATGAAAATGATCATTGGATTACAGGTCGAGATGATTTCGGTCGAGATTATAATTATAACAATGGTACTTTTACCACAGCAACAAACGATAAGAATGGATCACGGGAGACACAAGAAGCTGCCGCTGGTGGTGGTGGTGAGGAGGAGGAGGAGGAGGATTATGATGAGGATGAGGATGAGAATAATCATGTGACACCAGATTGGACACGCAACTTTTCGAAATTCGCACAACCCACGACAACACTTCGTCGTATTCCTAGTCATACAATGAATAATGAGGATGAGGAGGATTATGACGGTGAGGAATTTGATCATCTGGCAGATCCTGAGGAATTAGAAAGAAGAGCTGCGTTTCGAAGAGCTCCTTATAAGGTAGTCGGGAGCGATCACAATAAAAAAGAAAGTGACGATGACGGAGATGACGATGAATTTGGTGATTTTGAGAGCGCAACCGATGATGGAGGACATTCACAACAAGATGTATTGTCTAGTCCAATGGAAAGTTTAAATGTAAATAAATCCTCTTCTTTGTCACCAACAACGGCAACAGCAGCAACAGCTGCAACAACAACAACGCAGGATGATGGTCACCTAGTAAGAGCCGTAAAGACAAAGGAAGAAGAAGAATATCTGAAACAAAAGAAAGATTATCAACATGATGTGGATGAAGAACAAGAAGGTGAAGTCTAACACTTTTTGCACACATCTAATTCCTGTTTTTTTTTTCTTATACTCTTTTTTTTTTTTCGTATTATTATCTCCCCCCCCCCCTCTCTGACACACACACACTTGTTTATTATCACTTTTTTTTTAATCTTTTTATTATATCACCATTTTTTTTTTTAAGAATAATATAATGTTTGTAATTCTTTTTTTTAAAAAAATTTTTGTTGTCTAAATGCTAATCATGAGAAAGAAAAATGAGTTAAAGGTTATTGGGTAAGAAACTCCAGACGGTTCCTAAAGCAGCCATGACAACCGAGACAGATAATATACTATAAATCAACATTTTATCCTTGAATCCTAAATCCTCTCCAAACAATCGAAGATAACAAACAAGAGGGAAAATAGCGGAAATACCAAAACTGAACAACGCCCCCAACAACGACTAAATTTTAATTTTTGTCAAACATACATTCTATGATCACTTTTTTTTTTTTTTATAAAAAAAAAAAAAAAAAAAAAAAAACTTACCATCACACGGTCAAAGCCTGGAAAAACTGTAGCTACAAGAACAACCACGGTACTTGCTAAAATACGACCTACAGCACCTAAAAAGGATCTACGCCATCCATGATACTTACACCAGAGTTCTACATTGGCATAACTCGTGATCCATAACTCCCAGGTCACACTCACAGGATTCATCATCAAACCATATTTCGCAAGTGGCGTTAATACAATCAACCAAATCGCAAGACGGTTTATCCATTTTGAATATCCCGGTGTCGCAGCTAAATTTTGCGTGATCTAAAAAAAAAAAAAAAAAAAAAAGTGGGGGGTAGGGGGATTTTCCCTTTTTTTATGAGTATGATGCGGGGATAAAATATCTTGTTAAGACTTTACCTCTGTCATGGTGTCTAGGCCAAACATGGCATATCCCGCTACAGCCATTGTAATATACACACCTACCGTAATCACATAAGTGATATCTACCATACTTTCATACCGTTTAGGTTCTTCCATATCACGGTAAATAGCAGGGAATACAGCATGACCTGCAAATCCTGCCATCATCAAACCGAAACTAAGTGGTACATTGTACATGACGGAAGGAATAATTTCTGTATCCTAACGTTTTCAATCGATTAGTTTTTTTTTTTTTTTTGTCCCCTCTTTACACACAAAAGACGTACCATGGGTTCGATTAAACTTCCAGGCTTGGTCTTTTTAGAGATACCATCGTAAAGAACAATGGTGACAAGACAGGCACAACTAATGATACCGATTAAACTTGTATAGGCCAGTTTACGAATAGGTAAGAATAACATGGGAGTTAATACGATGAATGAACCTATACGGATAGACAGCATGTCAATGTTTGGAAACAAGGACTCAATACCATCACCCAGCAAGACCACCATAGCCACACTATATAAAAAAAAAAGAGTGTAAGGTTTTTTTTTTTTTAAGAGTTAAATAGAATAGTTGTAATTTACCCAATGGTCATGAGCTCAACAACAAAGATGGTACTGACAAAAGTTCTACCACGATGACCGAAAGCAGCGGCACCCATATCACCATAGGTGGTTGAATTAGGGTAATAGTCCAGACACTTGGCGATTAATTTAGCGGTATAATTGGTAGCAAAGACACAAAAGAAAAAGATGATGGAACCAAAGAACCAACCTGCACAACGAAAACCCAAGGGTAAGGCCAATACACCGATGCCAACCAAGACATTAATGGAGTTAAAAATGGATTGGATGAATGTGGATCGGATAGGACTTTGTGTGTAATGTGGATCATGTTGTTGTTGAGAGGTATTAAACTGTTGAGAGATAACGGATGCAACGGTGGTATGTCGAGATAAGGATGTGAAATGACTGGCACTTTGAGAGAGTGTTTGAGTCAAGGTATAATCAATGGGTAATAATTTGGATCTGATATTATTATTATTATGAGGGTCGTCTGATTCGAGATCCTCTTCTCCATGACGGGTGGGTGGGTTGGAACTGAGTCGATGGTTGATACTGAGATTTTCTGCCATGTAAAGTGCAGAGGTACGAGAATAAGAACCAGCAAAGGATTCCAAGTGACCTCGTAAAGAAGAGGGAGAGCCTACCGGTGTACTGTTCATGGATTCTCCCCCTGCACTGTAATAATAACTACCTGCCAAATCTTCACCCCCTGTTCCCGTATTGACTGTACCATACCTCGTACCAGGTGTATTCAAGTGAGAAGGATGCGTATTTAACGGCACTCTTATATGCACTGGCTCAGATTTAGGATCCTCTGACATTTTTTTTTTTAGTGATGAAAGGGAAAAAAAAAAAAAGAAATAATTAAAAAAAAAAAAAAAAAAATTATAAACAAAAAGAAAAATTAATAAGGGGCGGTATTTATATAACGATGAAACCCGTCCCTTTTTTTCCCCTCAAAAAAATCTTTTTTTTTTTAAAACTAGTGGCCCTTGTTTCTTAATCCAATTTAACCATGCACTTTTTCTTTTGACGCTCGTATCGATTATGACTGTTTCAACTATAAAAGGGAACACGAAAGGGGAACAGCCCTTTTTCCGACTGTTTCAAAATACGTTTGAAGTAAAAAATCCATCAAAAAAATGTTACTCAAATCATGTAACATATCTTTAAAAAAAAAAAAAGCCACATGATGATATAAAAAAAAAAAAAAGTTGTGTGTGCTCGTTTTCTTTTCTATATAAAATTATCCCTGCAGAGAGAATGTCCGTGTAACCCATCAAACAGGCTTATTATACCTTTGTGTACTCATGTACCAGAGACTCGGGTATTTGGCTACTGTTGCACCAATTTCGTCATATCTTTTTTTGGGTAAAGAGAGAGAGAGACAAAAGAACGCTTTTTAGTGTAACTTTTCAATGATGTAATTGGACATTTCTCTTTTTTGTTAACATCACCATAAAATACAAACCCCGGGGGGCAAAGTATATAGGTTTTTCTCTCCATATGTTCCCTTTCGTTTCCATATTTAGACTTACGATGGTTTTTTTTTTTTTTTTGTGAGAGAGCACCGGAGAAACAATTTGTCATTTTCTTGCCCGCATATAGTAATAAAATAAAATGGCAATCCCTCTCCCCCCCCCGCGAAAAAAAGTCTCTCTCTATTTTCCATGGTGAATTGTTTCCAACGGAAACCCCTCCCTAAAGCAACCGTTGTCATGACATGGTACGTATCCATAGCGCTTTTGAAAAAAAAAAAGATCATTAAGATCACAATACCTCGTTTCCCTAAGCGTCTTTTTTTTTTAATTTGAAATCTCGATTAAAAAAGTAAAAAGCCACGCACTTTTTTTTTCCCTCCCTAAAAAGAAAGAGAACCACTGCTACCCTCTTACAGTGCAGATGATGAATTATACCAGCAGTATGATGTCGTATTTTACTTGGCAAAAAAAAAAAAAAAAAAAAAAAAAAGGGATATTGACGGGGGAAAAAGATCGCTTACCTTTTTTTTTTTTTTTTTTTTTTTTTTGGTAGCACATCGTACATCTCTCTTTCTAGGGATCTACCGGATCCGGAAAAAAAAAAGAAAGGTTGAAGGAGTGTATGTTTTCAAAGTGTGGATAAACCTATAAAATATAAATGAATAATATGATGGAAAAGTAGAGATTTTGGATTGCGATTAGAACCATCGATCGTGGGGGGAAATCGAGAAATGCATAGTGATTATCTTCATATTATTATTACTGCAGAAAATGAAACTCTCATTTTTTTTTTTGCCACCCTTCATCACCCCCTTAAAATGATTTTGATTCATCTTGACTTTATATGGGGATTCATGCAATGAAGTATTTTACCACCATCGATGCTAGCAAAAAAAAAAAAAAAAGGATCGACACATGACTCTTTTTTTTTTTATTAAAGAAAAGAGAGTCATGTGCTCTTTTTTTTTTTTTTTGCTAGCAATCGATGGTGGTAAATACTTCATTGCATGAATCCCCATATAAAGTCAAGATGAATCAAAATCATTTTAAGGGGGTGATGAAGGGTGGCAAAAAAAAAAATGAGAGTTTCATTTTCTGCAGTAATAATAATATGAAGATAATCACTATGCATTTCTCGATTCCCCCCACGATCGATGGTTCTAATCGCAATCCAAATCTCTACTTTTCCATCATATTATTCATTTATATTTTATAGGTTTATCCACACTTTGAAAACATACACTCCTTCAACCTTTCTTTTTTTTTTCCGGATCCGGTAGATCCCTAGAAAGAGAGATGTACGATGTGCTACCAAAAAAAAAAAAAAAAAAAAAAAAAAAGGTAAGCGATCTTTTTCCCCCGTCAATATCCCTTTTTTTTTTTTTTTTTTTTTTTTTTTGCCAAGTAAAATACGACATCATACTGCTGGTATAATTCATCATCTGCACTGTAAGAGGGTAGCAGTGGTTCTCTTTCTTTTTAGGGAGGGAAAAAAAAAGTGCGTGGCTTTTTACTTTTTTAATCGAGATTTCAAATTAAAAAAAAAAGACGCTTAGGGAAACGAGGTATTGTGATCTTAATGATCTTTTTTTTTTTCAAAAGCGCTATGGATACGTACCATGTCATGACAACGGTTGCTTAGGGAGGGGTTTCCGTTGGAAACAATTCACCATGGAAAATAGAGAGAGAGCTTTTTTTCGCGGGGGGGGGAGAGGGATTGCCATTTATTTTATTACTATATGCGGGCAAGAAAATGACAAATTGTTTCTTCCCGGTGCTCTCTCACAAAAAAAAAAAAAAAAACCATCGTAAGTCTAAATATGGAAACGAAAGGGAACATATGGAGAGAAAAACCTATATACTTTGCCCCCCGGGGTTTGTATTTTATGGTGATGTTAACAAAAAAGAGAAATGTCCAATTACATCATTGAAAAGTTACACTAAAAAGCGTTCTTTTGTCTCTCTCTCTCTTTACCCAAAAAAAGATATGACGAAATTGGTGCAACAGTAGCCAAATACCCGAGTCTCTGGTACATGAGTACACAAGGTATAATAAGCCTGTTTGATGGGTTACACGGACATTCTCTCTGCAGGGATAATTTATATAGAAAAGAAAACGAGCACACACAACTTTTTTTTTTTTTATATCATCATGTGGCTTTTTTTTTTTTTAAAGATATGTTACATGATTTGAGTAACATTTTTTTGATGGATTTTTTACTTCAAACGTATTTTGAAACAGTCGGAAAAAGGGCTGTTCCCCTTTCGTGTTCCCTTTTATAGTTGAAACAGTCATAATCGATACGAGCGTCAAAAGAAAAAGTGCATGGTTAAATTGGATTAAGAAACAAGGGCCACTAGTTTTAAAAAAAAAAAAGATTTTTTTGAGGGGAAAAAAAGGGACGGGTTTCATCGTTATATAAATACCGCCCCTTATTAATTTTTCTTTTTGTTTATAATTTTTTTTTTTTTTTTTTAATTATTTCTTTTTTTTTTTTCCCTTTCATCACTAAAAAAAAAAAAATGTCAGAGGATCCTAAATCTGAGCCAGTGCATATAAGAGTGCCGTTAAATACGCATCCTTCTCACTTGAATACACCTGGTACGAGGTATGGTACAGTCAATACGGGAACAGGGGGTGAAGATTTGGCAGGTAGTTATTATTACAGTGCAGGGGGAGAATCCATGAACAGTACACCGGTAGGCTCTCCCTCTTCTTTACGAGGTCACTTGGAATCCTTTGCTGGTTCTTATTCTCGTACCTCTGCACTTTACATGGCAGAAAATCTCAGTATCAACCATCGACTCAGTTCCAACCCACCCACCCGTCATGGAGAAGAGGATCTCGAATCAGACGACCCTCATAATAATAATAATATCAGATCCAAATATTACCCATTGATTATACCTTGACTCAAACACTCTCTCAAAGTGCCAGTCATTTCACATCCTTATCTCGACATACCACCGTTGCATCCGTTATCTCTCAACAGTTTAATACCTCTCAACAACAACATGATCCACATTACACACAAAGTCCTATCCGATCCACATTCATCCAATCCATTTTTAACTCCATTATGTCTTGGTTGGCATCGGTGTATTGGCCTTACCCTTGGGTTTTCGTTGTGCAGGTTGGTTCTTTGGTTCCATCATCTTTTCTTTTGTGTCTTGCTACCAATTATACCGCTAAATTAATCGCCAAGTGTCTGGACTATTACCCTAATTCAACCACCTATGGTGATATGGGTGCCGCTGCTTTCGGTCATCGTGGTAGAACTTTTGTCAGTACCATCTTTGTTGTTGAGCTCATGACCATTGGGTAAATTACAACTATTCTATTTAACTCTTAAAAAAAAAAAAAAAACCTTACACTCTTTTTTTTTATATAGTGTGGCTATGGTGGTCTTGCTGGGTGATGGTATTGAGTCCTTGTTTCCAAACATTGACATGCTGTCTATCCGTATAGGTTCATTCATCGTATTAACTCCCATGTTATTCTTACCTATTCGTAAACTGGCCTATACAAGTTTAATCGGTATCATTAGTTGTGCCTGTCTTGTCACCATTGTTCTTTACGATGGTATCTCTAAAAAGACCAAGCCTGGAAGTTTAATCGAACCCATGGTACGTCTTTTGTGTGTAAAGAGGGGACAAAAAAAAAAAAAAAACTAATCGATTGAAAACGTTAGGATACAGAAATTATTCCTTCCGTCATGTACAATGTACCACTTAGTTTCGGTTTGATGATGGCAGGATTTGCAGGTCATGCTGTATTCCCTGCTATTTACCGTGATATGGAAGAACCTAAACGGTATGAAAGTATGGTAGATATCACTTATGTGATTACGGTAGGTGTGTATATTACAATGGCTGTAGCGGGATATGCCATGTTTGGCCTAGACACCATGACAGAGGTAAAGTCTTAACAAGATATTTTATCCCCGCATCATACTCATAAAAAAAGGGAAAATCCCCCTACCCCCCACTTTTTTTTTTTTTTTTTTTTTTTAGATCACGCAAAATTTAGCTGCGACACCGGGATATTCAAAATGGATAAACCGTCTTGCGATTTGGTTGATTGTATTAACGCCACTTGCGAAATATGGTTTGATGATGAATCCTGTGAGTGTGACCTGGGAGTTATGGATCACGAGTTATGCCAATGTAGAACTCTGGTGTAAGTATCATGGATGGCGTAGATCCTTTTTAGGTGCTGTAGGTCGTATTTTAGCAAGTACCGTGGTTGTTCTTGTAGCTACAGTTTTTCCAGGCTTTGACCGTGTGATGGTAAGTTTTTTTTTTTTTTTTTTTTTTTTATAAAAAAAAAAAAAAGTGATCATAGAATGTATGTTTGACAAAAATTAAAATTTAGTCGTTGTTGGGGGCGTTGTTCAGTTTTGGTATTTCCGCTATTTTCCCTCTTGTTTGTTATCTTCGATTGTTTGGAGAGGATTTAGGATTCAAGGATAAAATGTTGATTTATAGTATATTATCTGTCTCGGTTGTCATGGCTGCTTTAGGAACCGTCTGGAGTTTCTTACCCAATAACCTTTAACTCATTTTTCTTTCTCATGATTAGCATTTAGACAACAAAAATTTTTTTAAAAAAAAGAATTACAAACATTATATTATTCTTAAAAAAAAAAATGGTGATATAATAAAAAGATTAAAAAAAAAGTGATAATAAACAAGTGTGTGTGTGTCAGAGAGGGGGGGGGGGAGATAATAATACGAAAAAAAAAAAAGAGTATAAGAAAAAAAAAACAGGAATTAGATGTGTGCAAAAAGTGTTAGACTTCACCTTCTTGTTCTTCATCCACATCATGTTGATAATCTTTCTTTTGTTTCAGATATTCTTCTTCTTCCTTTGTCTTTACGGCTCTTACTAGGTGACCATCATCCTGCGTTGTTGTTGTTGCAGCTGTTGCTGCTGTTGCCGTTGTTGGTGACAAAGAAGAGGATTTATTTACATTTAAACTTTCCATTGGACTAGACAATACATCTTGTTGTGAATGTCCTCCATCATCGGTTGCGCTCTCAAAATCACCAAATTCATCGTCATCTCCGTCATCGTCACTTTCTTTTTTATTGTGATCGCTCCCGACTACCTTATAAGGAGCTCTTCGAAACGCAGCTCTTCTTTCTAATTCCTCAGGATCTGCCAGATGATCAAATTCCTCACCGTCATAATCCTCCTCATCCTCATTATTCATTGTATGACTAGGAATACGACGAAGTGTTGTCGTGGGTTGTGCGAATTTCGAAAAGTTGCGTGTCCAATCTGGTGTCACATGATTATTCTCATCCTCATCCTCATCATAATCCTCCTCCTCCTCCTCCTCACCACCACCACCAGCGGCAGCTTCTTGTGTCTCCCGTGATCCATTCTTATCGTTTGTTGCTGTGGTAAAAGTACCATTGTTATAATTATAATCTCGACCGAAATCATCTCGACCTGTAATCCAATGATCATTTTCATCTTCATCCTCGTCATCAAACGTACCTTCCTCACCACGTTGAGCCAAGAAACGAGAGTATTGACTGGCTGCAACACCTTCCAGTGCATCATCATCGTCCTCTTCATCGCTTTGAGGTACGTCCATTTCATCATTGGGTCGTAGTCCACCCAAAGGCAACTGATCTCTATCCTTTGTCTCTTTTAATTCGCCGTTGCAATAAGCGTACCAACCTTCTAAATCAATGTCGTCCTTAATAGCTAATACAATGGTTTCAGGGTATCCTTCAAATAATTTCATAATTTCGTCAGAGATAAATGTTAAATGACCCATGTATCCAGCACGCATTCCCTTTGGTTTAGCACTACACATGTCAAAAAAAAAAAATTCCTCTTATTTAACATACATAAACACTTTCATACTCAATTTTTTTTTTTGGGGGGGTTATCCTTACCATTCAAGATCGTTGGATTTTTGTGCTTGTACGATTTTATCGGTTAATTTACCATCTTTGAGAATAGAAATAGCAAGACTGCGATTTAAACCAACATCCATACGTCCATTAAATACTTGATGAAGCATATCGTAGATAACATAATGCAAAAAGTTGTTCCAAGGGAATGAAAAGAATAAATCCTTTAAAGAGAGAGAGAGAGGGGGGTGGGGGAAAACAAGTTAGTGAGATTAGCCTTATCACTCTCCCCCCCCTTTTTTTTTTTCTTTTTCTTTTCTATACTTACAACACAGATTGGCATGGCCTTATTATTCACAAATTTCGATTTAAGATAATCACCCACCGAAAGTTCCTCCTCCTCCTCCTTCCTGTCCTCTTGTGCAGGTTTTTTCTCTTCCTCTGTGTTTAATTGAGCTTCCTCTGTCATTGTCATGGAGAAATGATTTAAATTGGACATGTTGGAACAATGTAACAATTCAGCAAAGAGTTCACAAATCTTTAATCGTTCAAATCCTAATGGTTCTAATTCGCCTAACGTGGTACGAATAGGTCCATTGACGGATCGAGGTTTTAATAATAAATGGGTGAATTCGGCAACATGATCTCCCATGACTTTTAACATATCGGCTAAAGATACTGATGCATTTCGAATCTGCTGCTGTTGTTGCTGTTGTTGTTGCTGGTATTCATATAAACCTGCGCCCGATGGATCACTTTCCAAATCACTATTATTATGTCGAATGATATCAATGATGATGGAAACGCCGTTAATCAAGGTGGAAGTTGCATTAGGCGCATCAGGATCGAGCATGAATTTAGCCAACTTTTGCATGGTGGATTCACTAAAAAAACAAGTTTTTTGTTGTTGTTGTTGTTAGGGAAACCTCAGCTCTAAATGTTGCTTTTCCCCCCATCCCCTCTTTCTCTCATAGTTTGTCTTTACCTCTTTAATTCGATGATTAATTCATTGATGCCAATACTGGGTGATTCAGGTAGACTAGTTTGTGACATGCGAATGATTTCACAAATACATTGTTGGGCAATGGAGTGCTCCTTAAATATTAAATAATTTAGTCATGACCACACACACAAAGGGGGGGGGAGAAAGAAGGGAGCTTATTCTATGTTCTCTTACCTCACTATCCAGATAAGGATCGAGCCTTTCTACTAAATTTTCAAGTAAGCCATGATCACTTAACCACTTAAAAAAAAAAATTAAAGTTTAGAAAAAAAGAAAAAAAGATAAGCTAATATATTTTTTTTTTTACCTTGACAACACCTTTTCCTTCTGGCAATTCTTCCATACGAACCAACGTTAATAGTAAATCCATAATAGCAGAAGTTTGTAAATGAGACAATATTTTGTTCAAGTTTTCAGGGTCTGATTGAATAAATGTCATCATCTATTTTACACACCCAAAAAAAGATTTTTTTTTTTTTTAGTGTGCGGATTAAAAAAAATTAAATTACCCGAAATTTTTTTTTTTTTACCTCGATAGGGTATTTTGATAACAAGACACCGATGGTTTTGCAAAAGTAAGAAGCTTGTAATGAATCTAAACCAATCTCTTGTTTTTTCTCATCTAAAGTATCCGACGCACGTCTTTTAGGATACGCAGGTCGATCCAAATAAGACCAAAATGGTACTAAAAGTTCTTCCTTGTGTTCAATCACAATAGCGTCAATCATTTGTTGAATCTCACAAGCAATGATTTCACTCGCAAGAAAAGGATACCTTTAAGAACAACGAACAGTTTTTTTTTATAAAAAAAATATGTCGTCAGTTTAAAAACGGTCTTTTTTTTTTTGTTTATTTTGATGATAAACGAACTTACTTGAATCGTTTTGTTTCATCTAAATCTGTAGCTGTAATGTAGTTTAATAAGGTCTTTACGTTTTCGGGCTGACTTAAACTAGAAGGGAGGGGGAATGCATAAGACGTGTTAATGAACTGTTTGACATGATACGCGTTCCATGAATAGTTCTTTTCTTTAAAAAAACAAAAAAGAATCATCTTACAATAGAACGAGTTTTTGGTTGAGTGATTTCGCTTCTTGAAGTAAATCCTCCTCCTCCATGACTTCTTCCAGTGTTACATCTTCTCTGTCTAATAGAGTATCCAAAGTCGAATTGTTAAATCCAAATCGCCAAAACATGTTGTAATTTCTTTTCTTTCGTTATATTTCCAATTCTCTCTCTCTCACACACACTCTTTCTCCTTTCTGTTGATTTTTATCCAAAAGAAAAAGGGAGGGAAAAAAAAAATAATATATATGTAAAATTTGGAAAATTATAAAAAGGAAATAATAAAATTACCCCGCCAATCCTCCTTAAAAAAAATCCCAAAAAAAATAAATGACGTCAGATTTTTTTTTTTTTTTTTTTTTTTTTTTTTTTGCCAGTGCCGTCAATAAGGCTTTCTTCTTCTTTAATTCAAGTCTTGTGTAAAGTATCCAGTACAAAAAAAAAAAAGACGAGCATCAGTTAGCAAAGAGGGAAAAGAAATTTATTGTCCTTAAAGTCCATATCCAGTGCATTGTAGTCAAGGGAACAGTCTCATCGAATATTTAGTGATAGATGTGTCATGTATTCACTCACAATTACAGTCTCTATGGCTACATGAATTTTCATTTTTTTATCCATAAGAAAGGGCCCTATTATAATCATGACATAGACATAAAAATTGCTTACATATCTGATAAACAAGTTTGAAAATATAGAATTACATTTTACATATGATGGCGATGATCTATAAATATTGAAAATATGTATATACCACCTGAGCTATACTATATATAGTAATTTCTCTTATATACCACCTGCCGGATTATACCCGGACAATCGACGCCCGGCAGGTGGTAGATAGCCCATTATACGTGTAGATTTGGATTAATAAAACGGCATTTTTTAGGCTCATAAAGTCAATTACCACCTGTCTGTTATGTGAAGTCTGGCAGGTGTTAAATAGGCAGAACCCTCCTACCACCATTTCTTTACAAGATTAACAGTGCTCTGTCTAGTAACGTATTTTCCTTCATACTTTCCGTAGACAAGAAATGGCCGTGCAAGTGTTCTCGGTTAACCTTATCAGATTGATCTACTGCTTGTACCCGTAAAAGCTTTCAATGCTTGAATCTTAATTGGATTGGATATTTATTCTTACAGCTTGATCGTTTGTTCTCTTTTTCCTCAACGATTTCAATAGTAGTCTTACGAGCATTTCCATGCTTACAGCGAAAGACTAAGTATGTTAATTCACTTTTATCGACATCTAAAGCAAAGCTGCTTTTGAAAGTCTGTATTTAAAGTACTGTTTAATCTGTGCTAACTGTCGACGAAAGGCCTCATTTATAGCATTTTAAAAAACGATATTCAAATTAATTTAAAGTAAATTAAAGTGAAGCATAATAAAGTATTACTGTGTTCCTATTAACTATTTACGTTTACCGTAAGTCAAAAAATAACAATTTATTGATCCAGCTCTACACCTTTAAAAAAAGGGTGATAATTAACTTTATGAGCCTAAAAAATGCCGTTTTATTAATCCATATCTACACGTATAATGGGCTATCTACCACCTGCCGGGCGTCGATTGTCCGGGTACAATCCGGCAGGTGGTATATAAGAGAAATTACTATATATAGTATAGCTCAGGTGGTATATACAGGTTCTCTAAATATTTACAAAAAACGCTTACCTAAGAAGCAACTAATCCTTTTTTCCCATAAATAATTTATTACCTCATCTTTGTTTATCGTTTTTCCTATAGATAAAATCCGCCCTCACTCACTGTTTCTCTCTCTCTCTTCTTTTTTCTTTTTAGACACCAAAATACTTGTAGCTTTCATGAAAAGGTTGGTTGAATAAATGGATTCATGACTCTTTTTTTTAAAAAGAAAAAATACCGATACATAACAACGAAGTATCCCTTCTTAGATGAAGTTTCAACTAGTCTCAATGATATCAAGCCAGGTTCAATTCAATTCAAAATGGAGATACTTGGGTGATTTCTCGTGATTATTCAGTAGCCAAGGGATACAATTTGACTATGATACCGAGTTATTTGCGTACTAGTCAGTACAAAAAAAAAAAAAAAAAAAAAAAAAAAAAACCTCCCAAGAACTATATGGAGTTCCTCACCTAAAGAGAGGTTCTGATGTTCTCTTGCATGTATAATACCATAACTGTAAGGGAAATCCAAAAAAAATCGCATCGTCACATCAAATTGAACGCAGATAATACGCGATTATAGTGTCTATAATAAAGAGACAAAAAAAAAAAAGTCATAATTGCGCGTTCAAGATTACTTGGAACATGCAATTTAATTAACTGACAGATAAAACTGCTGCTTTTACTTTAAATATTGCGTTACAAACTTTATACGTTTAGACGCCACTCGTCCTCGAGCAATTTAATTCTCTAGCTTTGTTTTTTGTTTGTTTGTTACTGCTGGTATAATCGTGCCATGCATGCATACAAAAAAAAAAAAAAAAAAAAAAAAAAAAAGAGAGTAATTTTGATCGACATGAAGTCTGTGATTTCCCTTTTACAGATCATCTTCTTTACTCAACAATTATCAGTCTGATTCCCTCCTCAAAAGACTGTAAGTTTATAGGACAGCAAAACTGCCCCTTGGATTAGCCTTTGATCTCCAAGAATTGAAATTGGAAAAGAAGAATGACGGGGAAGCTTCTTTTGCCCTTTTTTCTGTTAAATTGTTTTAAAAAAACACTATATTCTATATTCTGTAAGTCAACCACTCAGGTATTTTTATATATATATATAAAAAAGTTTCTTCCATAATTGATGATAACGAGTACTCGTAAAAAAATAGTGAAAAACCTAATAGTGATTTATTCTAAATTTAATGCATTTAATAGAAAATTTCGCCTTCTTTTTTTTATTGTCATTATTCCAGATATGAGCAATGAGGATTCCTTTGGCTGAGCAACCTTCTTCTTGCAGATCTTATCCCTTTGCCCTTGTCAAGTAGAAGAAAAGAAGGAAATTATCCTCAAAATAGGAAATCACTATCACACATATTACAAAATATGCAAAATAAGAACATTTTACGCCCCTGCCCTAATCCTCGCCATCTGATTTCATATAGTGTTTTAACTGGATCTGTATATTACATACCGCAGGTAGACACTGACATTCGCCATGCATTATTATTATTTTAGTGGAATTCTCAACAAAGCCTTCTTTTCATTTTGACAGATTGTTCTCTATACAAATCTTTTTTTTTTTTTTTTTTTTTTTTTTGTTTCCTGGGGGAGAAGAGAGGGATGAAAATCACAGTCTAAACTCGAATTTGTGTTATTAAGGAATTTATACACAACCCATTTGTTTATATAAGACAGGAAGAAACAAGTATCTGGTTTTTTCTCAATTCCAGTAAAAAAACTAAAATGGTCTTTTCTTCCCATCTTTTTAAACTCGGTCTCACCATTGTCACTGTGTCTCAATTGGTGACAGGTGCCCCTTCAGATAGCCTGCGAACGCAAGCATTAAATACCCATAATAAGTATCGTGCAAGACATCATGTTCCTGGTGTCAAATGGAACCAGAATCTCGCCAACCATGCCACTCGCGTGAGTCAAACATGTAATTTCAAACATGTCGTGGTAAGAAGAAAGAAACAACAATCGCATGTGGTCATAATAACCTCTTTTATTTTATAAATGATAGTTGCCAAATACCGGACAGAATATCTCTCGAGGCTATCCTTCTATGGAAGCGGCTATTGATGACTGGTATAATGAAGTTAGAAACTATAATTACAACACGGGCTCAAATAAACCTGGTAGCAGTACGGGACATTTTACGCAAGTGGTTTGGAAGGGAACCACTCAAATTGGGTGTGGAGCTACGTACTGTAATAATTACAGACAGACATTTTATGTTTGTAACTATAATCCTTCAGGAAACTATAACGGTCAGAATCGGGCTAATGTCATTCATCCATAAAATATCGAATAAAAATTATCCCATCCATCGGCATTCATTTTTTTTTAAATGTGTTTAGTTATCAAAAAAGGGGTTGGGATTATATGAGACTTTACATCTATAATAAATCACTGTCAATTGGTGGCATCAATCTATCAAGATGCATCTACAAGTCAGGCTCCAGTTGTTATATCAGAATGATTGATATCCCATTTACATTGCTTTGGCTTTTCCTCTTTTTACGCGTCAACAACTTTACAAATTCAGAAAAGAAGAGTCTAGTAACAGTCAAATCCAGCCCCCCCCCAACATAGCCAACATGGATCGCCACTTGAATCAAGGACCACCAGTAACATGAAGCGAAAAAGAAGTGAAAAAAAAAAATACATCAATCGTACTAACTTTTGTTGTTGTTGTAGCCACCCCTGGAGACCTCTAACATTCAACTTTTACGAAACCTGCGTTTGGCAGTAACTGTATTAGAGAACAAGGTCAATACGTTCATAATGGAAAACAAAATATTGGAATTAAGATACAAGTCATTGTCAGATGATTATCTGAATTTGAGACGTGAGAATCTCAGATTAAATGAATCGCTTCTGCATTCACTTCGATATCAAGGTGTCTCTCAAAATTCATTGATTGGTCAGGTACCAAAACAAGCTCCAACCCGAACAACGTCTACTGTGAAAACATCTACAAGTCGACCACCTGAAGTGAACAAAAACCAAACCAGATCGCTTACAGAAACGTAAGTAATAAAAAAAGTTACTCTGCCTGATACCCAATACTAAATCTAGGGGATCTCCTCTCCCCCTCATCAACCCCATTTTTTTTTTTTTTTTTTTTTTTATAAAACAAAAAAAAAAAAAAGTGAGATACTGCGTCAGAATATGTTAGACGTGATGTATCCGTTACGCCATCCTCTTCCTTCAATCCTTCGCTCTTCTCGAGACGACAGGGCAAACCCCGATCGTACTCAATCTATCCGCCGTGTGCATTTCGATCAATCGGGTAATTTATCTCAACAGGACAATTCTGAACAAGAGTCCCGTAAGAGACCCAATGATGCACAAATTCAACAAGATGATTCAAAAAAGAAATGTCAGCGTAATAAGTAGACTTTCACAGTTTATTCACGTATTTATCTTTTTTTTTTCTCTTTACAATGGCGAATGCATACCAAGCTACAATGAAACAAATAACATTAGTATATCAATAAACAATTGCTGTTTTTTTTAAATAAAATAATAATAATACCTTTGTGCTGAATTCAAGTTTAGATCTCTTTTGAAATCTTGTGAATTCCTTGTTATCGTGCATTTTTACGAGTTCTTGTACAGGTATCAATACAATGGGCCAAGCAAAGCCTAAAAAGTAAACAAACCAAGGAATCTTTGAAAACTCAAAGGGTCCATGAGCCAGTGAAACAGCACAGAAACAAAATTGCAAAATCACCGTCAAGAAAAATGCACCCACCCAAACTCGGTTTCTAAAGGGCACAAATTCAATAAGAGAACATGTTCTATGAAGGAAAGAAGGAGATATGCATGCTGTCATATCGGTAAAACAAAATAGACGTTTAGTTTTAAAAGGGATTCAATGCTCATGTAGAAAACTTACCAAGGTACCAAACAAAGGAGATCAACATAAAGTTTTGTGCATAGGTAACTGCCCATTGTTCTTCTACGGTCCAATGATACCATCCATTTAATCCGAACTTTCCAAAGGCATCTGTAATATTGATATCTAATGAATAAATAAGCGTCCTATAATTTTTTTTTTAAAAAAAAGATTAATAAAAAAAAACCAGAAAAAAAAGTGTGTTATTTTCACTATTTTTAATACATACATGGCATAGATAGCGATACACATCAGAATGACCAAGATAAAACGCAGGATAAAGTAACACATGAATCTCCAAAAATCTGTCAAATGTTCAATATTCTTCCCAGGCATGAGCAACATAATACCGTCTTCATGGGGTGTAAACAACATCGACATGGACAAAATGGGCAAAATAATCCATAAAACCCACAAGATTTGATAGCCAGCAAAGATGGGTGGAAGCAAGAGACAGAAACTCAAAAGTAACATGAGTGACATGGACATACAACCCGCCGTATAGAATGAAAAGCCCATTCTTACACAACCCAAGAGTCTTCTTGCATCACGAATTAATTGGGTCACCGCGTACAAACTGGTTTCGTATTGCATAAATAGTCCACAAGGTAAACTACAGAGCGATGCTCCTACAGCAAGTGGGGGTTGACGATCGTTGGTGGAAAGACGGCCTTTGCTTTGTGCACGGGTATGCATTGGTTCCATAGCAATACTGACATCAGACTAAGCAAGCATACAGATTAGAGATCATACATATATATATAAAGTAAAATAGAAGTATCAAATATTACCAGCGCAAAGGACTCGGTGTTTTTCGTGTTCAACGCATTGCCAATGCAGCAAACGACTTCGCCGTTTTCTTGAAATATACGAATCATTTCCTTCATTGCACGTGGGGTACATTCAGCAAATAAGGAGACATGTAAAGGAATATCGTCCACATCTTCCAGATGAGGTCTGATTTCATCAATGCCACGAGGTAATTGGGCCTTGATATCATGCGTTTGAAGGTATCCATTCCCACAGTTTTCATCATCTGGGTTGGATAACAAGATACAACTATTCCAATCTGTCTCTAAGCCCAGACGTTCTGCAAAAGCTTTGGATTCTCTTTCGGCCGTTGTCGAAAAATAAACAAATCGAATACCGGCAAGACCCAAATCCTCAATAAAATCTACCACATTTTGCTTCGGTTGATGACACATGGCAGTCATTCCCAAAAAGATTTGACCTTTGACTACTTCCTTATAAAACGTGGCTTCCTCTTGCTCATCCACGGGCTCGTCTTCTTCAAATGAATAGTCACTCGATCCAGTTTCAGAAGATGAACTGCTGGTGGAGGTGGATATCGATACATGCGATGCACGTCGATTGGGATGGTTCACTGTGATAATTTCATTCATGGGAAGTTTGCCGTTCGACTTTTTGACAGATGTACCAGAAGAGGATTCAGAAGAATCACTGCTGTCAGAACTGTCTGAGCTAGGTGGTTTGTAAGGTAAAACAACAAATGCACACCCTGGATCTTCTTCTTCGTCATCCGATGGGTTCAAAAATGGAATACGACCATCATTCACTGTATTAATAGGTCGGTAGGCGTAAGCGATACATTGCATATCATGTACAAGTGCATTTTGAAAGAAATCATTGATCTTTTTTTCCATCTAGAAAAAAAAAAAATATGTATGAGTTTCGCTTGTTTTACTCATCATTCACAACTTACGGTTTCGCTCATAGTCTGTAAGGAGCTACCATCCCAGTAATCCGAGCATTTATCCATCACGAGTGAAGGGTGGCCGTCTGTCAGTAATTGATAGCTTCCCGAGGATCGTTCCTCGAACACGGTGGAAAGCGCATTGGGTACCTCAAATTGATAGTATTTACTGTATTTGAATCGAGGCGTGTTTAGAATTTCATGATAGGGAGCAAACGTATAGATTTCTGCTCTCAGCGCAAATGATTGTAATGCTTCCTCTCTGAATCCAACACATTTTCCTAATCTACAAAGACATGCTAAACAACATACCCTTTTACGTTAATGACGGTAATTTTGCCGCTTTTTTTCTCTCTAAATATATATATATACTTTACATTGTCTTGCAGGTGCCGTTTTACCATATACGTGTAACTTGGATCTTCTTCGGTGATACTCGGATCTTTTGCGGCTTTGGATGACACCGCAATTTGTGTTTAACATGAAATTCAATCCAAGAGGTTTTAAGCAACTATGGAAGGATAAGCGGTTAAAAATGTTTTTTTTGTTGAATCAGGGACATATTTTCTTACGGTAGATATTGTTCCCAATCTTGGTCTTCAAATTTTAATCCAGATGGTTCATCCGAATCTTCTTCGACGTCTAAATAAGTAATATCTTCTTCATTATTGGGAAACATCAATTGCTCAACAGTAGGAAAGGGCTAAAAAAAATGTTAGTGGCATAATACTTCCTCTATTGTAAAAGTGGAGGGGGGCGGCTTACGTTTGCAATTGTTCCTTCTCGGTCTAAACAACAAATGACAGTAGTGCTTCCAAGTGACTCCAGTAAGTTTGTCGACCTTGTCAATGATAAACGATCCCACTTGGTTAGCAAGGACAAGAATCTGTCCCAAACAGCATCTACGAGAAGGAGAAAAAATTGGTATTAGATTCTTCCTGCGTTTCTTCTTTTATCAGGGAGGCTTACTAGGACTTAATTCAAGGTCTTTGGTAGGAGGGGGAGCTTCTGCATCGAATTCATCCACCTCATCATCGTCCTCATACTCCGTTTTAGAGATCTGAAGGGCTTCAAACAAGATTAATAACTGGGCATTACCAAAACTACGAGCGACGATCCACATGCTTGGTATACAAAGAGGTAAAAGGGGAATAATGGCATAAATAGACATGGTAAATACTTCTTCGACGAGTTGATCCACAGGGAAATGATTAATAAGTGTGCTACGAAGACCGTATCTCAAGAAATTCACGACCAGCGCTATACCCAAAACAATCCAAATGATATATCGGTAAAAGATGCGGATGATGACATGGCTTTCATTGTGCATCACTGTATCGGGTCGTTTTTGGTTCAATGCTCGACGCATGTTCTTTTCCAAAGGTGATTCTAATAAAAGGAACTGATGTCGACCTCTGGATCGCATATACTCTTCCATTAATCCGGAGGGTGGTGGGATACCAAAGAAGGAAGGTTTGAATGATTGATCCTTTGCGATATAATATTCTTTTGTATTTAAGGGTGGTTCGCTCTTACTGGAGCTTCCACTGCTGCTGGAGCTACTGGATCCACGACGTTTTTTCGAGGACTTGGTATCCTCCTCATTTTCTGAATCATTATCTTTTGCAAGACCTTTCTTGTGAATATATTTCATACGACCTGGAGCAATATCACCATATAGCATTTCTACCACATCTCCCTCAACTAAAAGATTAACGGGGAAAATACGTACAACGCCATCACGTACGACTTTGGCGACAGACATGGAGGGTATAAAGGGTATTTTTGTATCCTGAACCATGTTCATGCCACTTCTCTCCAATGCTCCAATGATCGTTGCTGCTCTATCTGTCATTTCTCTATAGGCTAATACTTGCTCCCTGTAAAAGATATATGCATTCCACGCTGTAAGTGCTAATAACAATAATGCCTCAACCAATAAACCAGTGATGCGAAATTGATAAGGCTGGCTTTTAAAGTATCCCGCAATGTAAAATGATAGTAATCCAAGACCTGACAATGTGCTGAGAAACGTGGCAGGATTGAAAATCACCATTCGAAAATCTAATTAGAACCAATTTGTCAGATTAAGGGTGTTAGTTTCAAGTGTGGTGTGGTTGAATATTTACCAATTGTCTTGTCAATTCGAATTCTTTCTTCATCCAAAATGTGATTTGCTAAATGCAGTAATTTACTGTGTTCAAAAGTTAGATATAACTCATTATTGGTCATATCTTGTAATTAGTTACCTCAATGCTTCATCACTAGATAGCCCCGGATGTCTATTAGATTGTAAACTCTCTCTTTTACTCCAGGAATGCGACTGTAAATTGGTTTGTAATACACGTTGGGTTCTTTTATGCAATCGGCGTGGGATAGATCTTCTTCTGAAGCCTTCTCCGATCTCTTCCTCGTGCCTGCTGCGGTAATTTCTTTCGTTATGTCTCAACATCCGTTCACGATCTCCTCTGGGCATCTCGTCTACCAAATCGTCATCCTCTTCCGTATAAACTGTAACCATAGCTTTACTATCAGCCAAAATGTCCTTTCGGCTCGATCCATTTCGATTGGTTGCTTTTCTATGATGTTTGTGTCTACGTTTTCTTTCTTTGTGTGCAGGAGATCCTGGTTTATTTGAGACTTCTTCCTGTTCTAAATCATCGTCACCGTCATTCTCTGCAGCAGATAAATCTGTTTCCTCAGGTTGAAAAGTGCTGGGTTCGATTAAGCGAAGGTGAGAAGGTTTTAATAAACGGCCACTATTCGAAACAGAATCAGCGTCTGAGCCACGTCTACTGGCAGGAGTATAACAAAAGGCGTAATCACTCTCTGATTCATCACCTAATTGACCATTCTTTTCTAAACGACGTGGGATAGAGCCACCGTGGTCGATGACGACTTGAGCAGACACGCTAGAGCCGGAGCTGCTACTACTACTGCTACTACTACTGTTATTCGAATCACTTCCGTCATCCCCTTCGCTGGTTTTTTTACTGCTACGGTGATGCTTGGATTTTTTTGGAGCGGCCGCGGCGGGTTCCTCTTCGTTGTTCACGTCAAGCAGAAAAAAAGTCGTGCCTTGGTCATCCGTTACTTGGTCTGGTGGTAAGATATTTAATGGGGTTTCTGAATTGACCGAGTCAACTGAACGATGGGAAGAACCAGATATGGTACGTCGCATGTCATTAGCCATAACAAATAATAGAAAAAAAGAAAACGGAGAGTTACCAAAATCATGGAAGGTGAACGCTCTTCTTTTTTTTTTTTTTACAGAAAGAAAAAAATCACAATGAGTGACTGTGAACCCAAATTGGAAATTCTCACCGTCATCCGTGTAACGTACACAGCAGCAAAAGCATGCCATTGAGAAACAGCATTGTTCCAATCTTCCTGTGGGATAATCAATTGGCGATAAGTAAATGTCTCCAGAAAAATTATGATCTCATATTTAAAGGATAAATGACTGCATATAAATCCGCATTTATAACTCTTAAATGTGTTCGGGTATACTCATTATGACCCGCCCACCAATTGGGCTAAGATCCATGAATTACGCATCTTATATTAAAAAAAATACTCTTAAGCAAAACCATAACTTCTTTTAAAAGTGCACATGCATAATACAGTGATTTTAAGAGTAGGTGCCTGAAATATATTGCGTCGATTAGAGTTCATATGTATCACATAACGTCAGAATTATGTCTAATTCAAGATTACGTTCAATATGTGACACCATAACAGCTAACTTTATCACATAGATCTATGATAATTAATTTAAAAACGTAAAAACATAAAAACATAAACTTACTATTTAAAAGCTAAGTTAGAGATATTTATAGTCATCGTATTTTCAACAATTATCTACCAAAGCGTTTACATACACTACTAATAGTAAATGTTTTTAAGGGTTTGTCCATAGTCTTATGACAAGGCATATATGAAAGTGAAGCTAATCTAAAATCAAATCTCGAATCATAAGACCCAATACAAGTTATACTTTTTCTTCTTCTATATATATGAGATAGATGTACGACCCCCCTTCATATTTATCAATTATTGTCAAATTCTTTTATCAAAAATGACTTACATAACTATCGGTGCTCATATTATTAATCGTCTGAAACAAGTTGGTATTGATACTGTGTTTGGCGTCCCTGGTGATTTCAACATGCCTTTATTGGATTTAATTGAGGACGATGTAGAATTAACTTGGGGTAACAATGCCAATGAATTGAATGCTGCGTATGCTGCTGATGGCTATGCCCGTGTCCGTGGTATGGGTGCCATAGTAACCACGTTTGGTGTCGGTGAGCTTTCTGCTGCCAATGGTATCGCTGGAGCTTATACTGAAAGGGTACCTGTAATTCATATTGTCGGCTCTCCTCATACTAACTCGCAAGCAAAAGGTGCCTTGCTACATCATACTCTTGGAAATGGTGATTATGATGTCTTTCATAAAATAGGTGCCATGTTGACGATTGCCTCCACAAAACTGACTCTCGAAAATGCATTAACCGAGATTGATCGTGTCATCGAAGCTGTCTTTATAAACAAGCGTCCTGGATATATCAATGTTCCTATTGACTTGATTGATGCTCTTGTTAAAACACCTTCAATAGTCGCTCCACTTCAATTATCACTTCCCAAAAACCCAGAAAATATCCAATCCATCGTCATTAATCAGGTGTTGCGAGCAATAACCGAAGCCAAGCATCCTACTATTATTGTTGATAACACTGTTCATCGTTACGGACTTTTGGAGGAGGTCAATGCTTTTATTAAACGGTCTGGATTTCCTACTGTTTCTACGATGCTTGGTAAAGGTGCTGTGGATGAATCACTTCCTAACTATCGTGGGATCTATAACGGATCATTTACTTATGAAGGTGTTAAAAATGAACTTAAAGATACCGATCTATTAATCGAAATTGGCTCCGTAAAATCTGACTTAAATACCGGAAACTTTTCTTGTGGGTTTGCTAATACAAGTCTCAAGACAATTACTTTGGATATTTCTAGTACCATCATCAACCATTCTGAATATGGTTGTGTTGGAATACACGAACTATTACCTCTCCTAACTTCCGCTCTCCCTACCAACAAGAATCCAATTATGTTTTATCCTCGGGTTATGCCAGATCCCATTGATACCAGTTGTAATGATATCACACACAATTACCTTTGGAACAAGATTCCTGAATATCTTGCACCCAAAAGTATTATCGTTTCTGAAACAGGATCTGCTGGGTTCGGTGTATCCAGCGTTAAGAGTACAAAGGGTACCATCTATATTAATCAGCTTTATTGGGCTTCCATTGGTTATTCTGTTGGTGCCGCTGTTGGTGCTGCCTTTGCAGACCGTGACCGTAAGGTTTATCTCTTTGTAGGCGATGGGTCCTTTCAATTAACTCTTCAAGAAGTCTCAGTTTTTATACACCAAGGTCTCACACCTGTTATTTTTCTCTTAAACAATGACGGATATCTTACGGAAAAGTTAATCCATGGTCCTGAGCGTAAATATAACAACTTTCAAATGTGGGATTATAGTAAAACATTGGGGTACTTTGGTGGGCATTTGGAAACAAATAAAACCAATGGAAAGAGCCCTTCTGAAATTGGACTGGAGTCTAAGGTTACTAATCGTCAAGAATTTGAGGATGCTATGCAGTCTGTCTGTCAGCAACCTAATAAGATTCATTTCTTGGAACTCGTTATGCCTGAATTTGATACTCCTTACGAACTCTCTCAATATTGTGTCACATCTGAAAATCGATAGAAATTTAATGATTGTTTTTTTTAATAAAATTCACATAACGTGTCTCCGTCATAAAGCTATATGTCCAGGATGTACCTTAAGATAAAAATTAAGTAAAAATTTAGGTGCCTAAAATTTAGCAACGGGGGGAGGGAGTGTTTACAAATGGTGAACATCAGGCGTTCGGCTTAGGATATTTTTCATGTATATGAAATGGATGTCAATTTGTATTAATCTCAGTAGGTTTTATCATAAGACTAATTGTGGCAATTTCTCTCGGCACGAATTTACCACCTAATTAGTCAAATAGTTGGATTAAACGTTTTAATTATTTGGAGTATTCTATCAGTGCTTCCAACGGGACACTGTAAGTAAACTTGTGTTATACACATTAGTTACAGAACCGTAGAAATAAAAAAAAAGACTGATGTAATAGCTTAGAATACCATGCAACTGAGGCGGCCTACAATTTTCTGAACTTACAGGTCAGGTAATTTATTGTAAAAACAAAGTTCTTTGACTATAATAGAAAAATAACCGCGTATTAACTAAAAAATAATGCACTGTTGTATAAAGATGTAACTAATCAGTCCTATATCAATTCATAGCCTTTTGCATTATGCATGAATCATCAGCATTGGCTCAGTATTAACAATTGAATTGCAACCATAAGCAGATATCGTTTTACATCACACGTGATTTCCAATATACTATAAGTTAAACAAAAAGTTCGGTATGCATTTACTCGCTTTTTTTATCATACATAAAATGAATTCAAAAGAATTTACAACGTTTATTAAAAAAGAAACTCAAGAGATAGTAAATGATCTCCAAAATATCAATAGCAATTGGATAGAATTTGACAATCATAAGTCTAAAAATGATGATAATAGTCAAAAAAATTACGGCCTTTATTCGTCTTTCTATTTTTATATGAAGAAAATTTCTGATATATGCCAAGACAGCAATGAAATATTTGGAAATGTATTACAAGAGCTTCAAATAGCAAAGTCAAACAGAAACATTGATGAGAACATTGTATATGAAATTGCAAATGAGACAGAAAAACTTTCTGGTGTTTTAAAACATGTCAAACGGGAAGAAAACAATATGATCACCAAAATTGAACAATACTTACAGGATTCAAAAAACCAACAAATCGAAGCTGAAAAAAGCATGGTCAATCTTCCTGGAATATATCCAACGGATAAAAAGAAAACAACAAAGCTTGAAGAATTTATTGATCGTGTATTTCATATTTTTCTTCCAACAGTCACTGCTGATCATAATTCCAATGATGAAATATCAATTCCATGCTCCACCAATTTAGAAAACAGCGCTAACACTGTTAGCAAAGATAGCATAAACTCATTCGAGACAGTTAAGTCATTGCAAAATTGTAACGAAAAGGAGCATGTTAGTCCGTTATTGAAAGGTAATATTACATTCGAAGTTATTTCATACTTAGATAAAATTAATCATTTATTGATTTAGAATTTGATACATTGGAAGCATTGGCTGTGCAAACAAAAAATTTAAGCATCAGATTTGAAAGTTTCAGAAAAACAGTTGATAGGTCTGCTAGTTTCTTATCAACTTACATAAGAGACCCTAAATTGAGCGGCTGGAAATTAAAAGAACCCTTAAAGGAAGACAAGACTACTTTTGATTCAATGATTGAAGTCCAAGCTATAAACATGATAAATATCACAAAGGTGCTACAACAAAGTTTTGATACTATTGATAAAGAAGCACGCAAGAACATTGTGCCTACGCATTTTATTTCTGAAAATCGCTTGTTAAACATGAGCACATAACAACAGTTTATTGAAACCATAATAAAACACTTTATGTTATGACACAGTTTTATCCTTGTGTTCTTTGTAACAGTTATCATACAAACGCTGCTGTCATACTTTTTGTGCTCTCAATTTTAAATAAAACATCATCACATTCATTTGATACCTTGATATATTAGTGTCTTTTTTTCTGTTTTATTATTATGAGAAGGATTTGCATATACATGCATAAATTACTGATGATGCACTAAGCCATAGCTACAAGAATTTTATACTAGCCTGCCTATATTGGCATTGGTTTTAGCAATAACTATGTCAACTTTCAATTAATAACGGAGTAATAAGGATTAGCAGCATAACTGTATTTGAACATAGTTTATTAAAAATGAGGGAAAACGGTTAACGTTTTTTAAAAAATGTCGCAGACATGTTATATAAGTAGACTATGTAACAAAATATAACCGTACATCTGTATAAAACGCTTAATTTCCATAGTCGCTTGCATCGTCTAATGTAAAAAAACTAAGCATTTTTTCGGTCTCAGATACTAAATAAAACGTTATCGTAGTCTGTTTAATAACACAAAATAGTAAATCCAATAAATACATATTAATACTAAGTGTCTCTCTGTATCTGAACAACTGTATATCATGAATTTTCTCGATAAATGGCTTTTAAGTATGCGTTCTGCGCCACAAACATAACAGTCAAGATAAACTCCCGTTAAACGTATTAACAATGCATAAGAAACTTCAGTTGGATGTGCTATATGTTGCAAATGTTTATTTTTATGCTTGAGATTATTTTTATTTTGATTCTAATATTTTGTTTGTAGCACTTTTTCTATTGATTCAAATTTTTCATAATATTTGGAAGTTGTTTGTTTTACATCATAATATTATAATAACGAAAGCAATACATTTGGTCAATGTTCTAGTAAACAAGAAAGTGCGTATGTTAGTCTAGCACAATCTCATTTTTTAAGGCTCGTTACAAAAGTTCCTAAATAAAAATTTAGAAGAATTGGCGTATAATTATTAGGCTTTTCGATTTTATTTTATCTTCTAGGTTTTAATACTTAACCAAAATGTCAGTATTCGTAACTCTTTCGGAAGTTCAAAAGCAAGCTACTAACATTGACAATATATTCACTGAAATAAACAAACTCTGGGATGAAATCTATCTTAAACACCGCGAAGAAGTGAACCATATTATCGATGTTGCTCATAATGTCCATACAGCATTTTATAACTATTTGAAAGAAGTTTATACTATTTGTAATAGCAGCAGCACATACTTTGAAAGTGTCGAGGAAGAAATGCAAATTGCCAAGAATAAAAAAAGATTCGACAGTAACACTACAACGGAAATAGCAAGGAGTACGCAAATAATATTGGATGCGCTTATCGAGAATAAACATCGTAGTAGCGCTATTTTTGAAGATATGAATGCATGCGAAAAGTTAATTGTAGAAGCTAAAAAAGAGCAAAAAACACATCTAGACAAGTTATCGAGAATGAAAAATTTTCTTCGTTCACTCAGTGCAGCTACTGCTTCAGGGATCGCTTCAGCCGGAGCCATTAAAATAGCGCTTGGAGATAGTGCTGCTAATAATGGGTCTGCTCTTAAAGGTTCTGTTGCTATCGCTCTTGTCTGTGGGAGTTTTGCAACTTACTTGCAAGTGATTCAAAAGAAGAAATTTCTTAAACTTCACCACGCTATGTTAGACATGTTTAACTGGATGATAATGTTACAAGAAGAATCTTTCACATTTGGGGAAAAAATGGAGCTCTTAGTTACGGATGTAAAAAGATACATAGTTCGCGTCGAGAAGATTATTAGGTGCTCTTCAATTACTGAGGATGACAGTAATAGAGTTGTAATATTAGCTACGGATATGATTTCAGCTAGCGATACTTTAAAATCTAGGTTTGACCAAATGGGACAAGAAGCTATCTACAAAAGATCCAGTTTGAAGAATTTGATACAAATGCATGATCCACGGGCTATTCTAGAAGAATAAATTAACACATGATATACTTATTTTCTTAACATTTTAAAAAACATATATTCGCAACACTTGCTGTTGAATAAACTCCTCAGGCATGTACCTACTTCAATTAATCCTTGATCTTAGTACTCATTATAATGCGTAATTTCACTTATTACATTTTCAATTACAAAGCTCAAAAAGTAGTCTTTAAAAATAATTATCGTTAGAATGTGTATATCGTGATGCCTCAATAAAATTGTAATATTTGGCAAAGCCAGATACAAATAAACCAAAATATTGCGCATGGTAAACACTCGATTTTAATGTTGATTCTGCGATTCCACATTTGAACCATACCTTCAAATACATAATTACGCAGTGGAGTAAATACAAATTAGTTGTTTGTACAAACTTGCAGGAAAATAATATTTGGTTAACCTATTCTGCAAGCACAACCATTTTTTTAGCCAACTCAGCAATACCATTTCCATATAATCTGCATAATCTAAGCCAGATATCACTTCACCGCTATTGAACCATATGAGAATTTATCAGATCTCTCTATGGTGCATCTATACAATGGTATATACATGCTAATAAGGTAGCCAAAAGATCCGATAAACTGCTTACTATTGGACTTCGACATAAATAACATTCATAAGCTTGATGTTTTTCTCGTCACATGCACTCATGTTCATTGTATTATTTAGCCCCTATAAAGTACGCCACCAAAAGTGCATAAGCAAATGTCATGGCTCAAATGGCTGAGTTGGTTTAAAAGCTTCGCATGCAGTCTATCAACAAAATATTGGCTTATTAATCTATAATGGCTCTTTGATTTATTTGTCTTTTAGGGCATTTCTAGAATAGATAGCACAGCCTGCCAGGTTAATTTGTTGCTTCTGCCAAGCTCAAAACGCCATTTTACCAAGTCGAAATCACGAATCTAAAACAATAGCAATATATTTAAAAAAGAGGATTTAAATGCCCGTCAAGAGAGGTTATTAAAGCATTCTTCATGTATGCTTTTTAAAGATAACACAAAACCATGATGCATGCATCCCGTCCATCAGCCTGTATCTACTATATAAACCCTAGATATTACCATTTATACTCAATACATCCATCAATTCCTCTTTCGCTAGTTAAAATGGAATCTCCTAAGCTTCTACAAGAACCGCAAAATCGCTCCATTAAAGACTTTGCAGCAGCCTCTGATCTAGGCAAAACCTGGGACAACATTGAGGAGCTACACGAAAAAACTGAACAAGACATAGCAAAGTTGCATGAAACAATTCCTAGACTATACCTGTCTTTATACTGCCTTCTGTTGGAAATTGAAACACTATGCCCAAGTAGTATTTCTTATTTAGAGATTGTAACAAAGCAAATGCTTATTGCCAAGGATAAAAGAAGATTTGATGCCGATACAGCAAAAGATATCGTAAAGGGTGTAAATTCGATCGTAGAATCTCTCATTACTAAAAAATCACACAGCCAGGTTGTTGATGCACCTATTCTTGAATATAACGAGGAAATAAAAGATCAGAGGAAAAATATAGCAGATATGAAAGCACAGTACACAAAAGTATGTGCCGGCGTATCTGTCAAGGTTGCTACGATGGCACTCAAAGAGGCTGGGCATTATAATGGTGCGATATCATTAGGGATTTTTGCTACCTCACTTTTAGTCGGCGGGGTCACGGCCTACAGGAGATCACGCAATAATAAAGATTTAAAGGAACTTCTTTTATTAATGGAGGCAATGTCTGGAAAGCTGGAGGGATTAACGTCAATATCTACGTTTTTTAATGACAAATTGAAAGCAATGGTTGATGCCATGAATAGGTACGCTGTACGAATCGAAAAAATTATACGACTCTCTTCCTATGATACTGAAGAATGCGAGGATGATACTGAAAGGGTCATTGTATTAGCACAGAACATAATTGAAAATACGAATGAATTAAAACAGAAGTTTGATGGAATGGCAAAGGAGATTAAATCTATATTATCTGGTTTAAGAACTATAATTCTCGAATTCAATCCAGATGCGAAGCTCAATGGCTGAAATATTACATACCATTGTTCGCCCTTCATTTTCTGTATTTATTTACACCTAATTCTGTCAATAAAATATTGTTACCATCATTTAATCGGCAGTCAATTTTCTGAGGGTTCTCCAAATTTTTGAAAGGACTAGGTGCATGTAGTTGTAATATATGATTGGATACTTTAATTGATATCAGGTCAGTATAATTAATCTTATATTATATGCGGATTTATTACAAAAAGCCTATATTGCTTCTCTCTGTTTTATTTTGGCGCACCTATCAGGTCTCGTTTATATTTTCTCCTAATATTTTTTACCTAAACAAGTACAAGGGATGGTGAGCGAGTAACGATTGAATTACTAGGATGAGAAGTATAAATTTGTCAATAGATATTCACCCGTGACCATCACATTATTTTTAATTGTATATTCCTGATTCTAAGACTTAAGAACATGAAAGATACCTGATCTTACGCTGTAGTTATGTGCACTTGGGCTGTCGATATTACTATTTGTTTTTTACTTGCTTGTATCACCACATGCTAATTGAAGGCAGGTGCAGACATCCGAAAACGCCTTTTGTGTGTACACATATTGTAAAGCTTAACTTATCGCTATCGATTGGCCAATAAAACGAATAAATATATACTGCATCCAATTTACAACGATATTTTCGTCTCAGCCCTATAAATACCAGTTTATTTCAGCTTTTTTTTTTTTTTTTTTTTTTTTTTTAACCAGTATACTTAACTTTTCTACCGGAATGAAAGAAGAAACATCAATCGGCACCGAATCAGCCACGTTAATAAAAAAACTTTGGGATCAGATAGACGACTTAAACCAAAGGAACAAAACTGATATTGCTTGTGTCATAGTAAAGGTGCGAGCTGTTTATTTCGATTTTTATGATTACTTGGAAAGAGTAGATGCAACATTCACTCACAAAAGTAAATATATAAACAATCTGGAAAAAAAAACAGACGTCTATAAAGCAAGTAGAAAATTTGACATCGAAAGCATAAAAGAGATGAAAATAGAAGCAAGTTTGATACCACAAATTGTTATTGCTCACAGAAAAAATGGCTTCGAAATTATAAAGGAGTTTGGAGAATGTAGAAAGCAGACTGAAGAGCAATTGAAAAAATTGGAAGACTCAAAAATTCGTTATGTCAAATTTAAGGAGCACAAAAAATCTGCGGGAGTCGGGTTAACTACCGGAGCTGTGTTATTGGCGCTCGGTGATGCAGCATGTACTGGTGGTATGCTATTTGCAAGCGGACTTGCTGCCGGTGGTTATGCCTCGTATAAGAGATCATGTAAAAATAAGAAAGTAAGCGACTTATTTGATCTTATGAGAAACATGCTTGAAAACCTGGACGAGCAGATATTGCAATCCAACAGCGTTGGTGTTAAATTGAACTCTGTCGGAAGTACAGACGCTTTTTTAGAATGCCTTGGTAAAATAAATCGGTGCTATTCAGAAAACCCTGGAATCAATAATGATGGTAATCGATTCGATGTATTGTTCGATAGTATGAAAAAGGCTATTGATGAAGTTAAGACCAAAATAGATGAAATTAGAAAACATGTGGATATGAATAGGTCTTCTTTAAAAATGATAGTCGAGACCAAAATTACAAATATAAGTTGATTTTTCTTTTACCTTATTAGTTCTTATAAAAAGACAAAATAATAAAATTGCATCACATAAATATGCATTCATGTAGCCTGCATTCTATTGGAACTTTAGTTTATCAGTCACAATTATAAAGTGTATTATGGCAGGCTAAAAGGTATGTTCTTTATAGACCTAGTTGAAGTTTGATAAATACTGAAGATCGTATTATATAAGAGCATTCACGCGTACAGAAACAAAGATGTTTACGGATAAATGTGCGTAGATGGGATTTTCACAATAGAGAAACCGTTAATGAATCAATAAGAAAATAGGATAATGTTGAGAATAATTTAAAATGAGTACCTGTGACTATGTTACACGATTGTATATATTCGTCTACTGCATATGATTATACAAACATAAAGTCTATTAGAATTAGCCATATTTTATTACCTTTTACCTTTTTATAAATAAAATGAATAAAATAATATATTCTGCCGATTTTTTGGAATCGGTGAACAAAGAAACTGGTAGTATTTTGGAAGATATCAATACTATAAATCTACTATGGGACCAATTGGACAGTAGCTTCGAAAAAGTATCTAGTCAAGAAATGAACGATCTACATGCAAAATTTTACTTTTTTATAAAATTCATTCTGGAGACATGTAAAGCCAATGTGGCAATTTTTGGTTATGTATTACAAGAATTAAGAATTGCAAAAGCAGACAGAAATGTTGACAAAAGTATCGTTTTTGAAATAAATCACGAGGCAAAGAGACTTTCCGGAAGTTTTAAAGGCATCAAGACAAAACAAGATGATTTACTAAATGCCATCGATATATGCCGCCAAATGTGGGATTATCATGAATTTGCGCATAACAAAACATTTATTATACGTATGTTCGAGAATAGCATACGGAAGGGGGCTCAATTGACTGAATCCTTTTTACATGCATACTTAAGTATTCAACGGGTTAAAGGTAATATCAAACAAACAAGTACTGATAAAAAGGCGACTAAAGCTATTGATTAATGAAAAGAAGTTGCTAAAATTTCTAATAAAAATTATATCAAGCCGGTAAAGAAAACTTCCAAATCTACCGGAGCTGCTGAGTTCAGGGATAGTGCTAGCATCGTCATAGACAAGGTTGAAATGACAAAAGATATTGACAAGTCAGTTGAAGAAGTTACTCGGCTAAAAAAACAGTCGATGATTGATGACTTAGCAATCCAAATTCAGGAATTAAGTAGCAAACTTGTTTACTTCAATGATCTCATAGATAATGCCGCAAGTCACTTGGTGACTTGTGTAAATGAGATCGAATCCAACAAAGACGCTTTGATTGCACGAATGGGAAAAGATGGGAGCAATATCTTTAAAAAATTTGTTGAAACTCAAGCTATAAAAATGGCCGAAATTACCAACGTACTGCAAAATAGTTTTGAATGTATTGCCAAAGAAATTTCCAAAAAAATCGTACCCACTCACTTCATTAATTAACCCCTTAAAAAATAAAAGGCCCTTTGCTGTCATACCTGTTCTTCTGAACATAAATAATATGAATAGTGTTAGTTCTCAATCCTTTTGATCTGTACTCCTAATATTAAATGCCCTTATTGAAACTTCTTCATGCTCTTTATAACTATCTATAGACTATAAACGAAAATAAAGCTAGCTTACACTTCAATACAGAAATAACTAAAATATGACAATAGCTATATCTAGATCCACTTCCTTTTTGGTTTATTATTGATTTTGAAATGAGTCAACCTTTTGCGACAATATCGTAACTTAATTACAAATCATTGCTGCCTTTTCCAAAAAACAACAACATGTATTTGGATATTAAGAAATTTTTTACATAGAATTATTTATATAATGAGGTTTGTAAGACATTTAGAAAATAAACTTTAGGATGCGGGTCAAAACCCCTTAAATACATGTAACCATGGCTTAGGGCCACACTACACAACAAACAAATGTATAAGGTTGGATTTTCTCGAAAAAAGGACGTACTTTGTTAGTAATAAGTCTCTTAAATGTGTCTACTGCATATGTTTAAAAAAATAAAGAATACATGGCTTATATACTAGCTGATTGGCGATGCGTTTTAAGCTATTATTTACAGTTTCCACATGCATTTGCTTCTACCTAATAAAAAAAGCCGATGTTCTTAAATCAATGTTACATCAAAAATATCCTTGTCAATACCCCCTATTTGAGTAGTTACTATAACTAACAAAACCTCGTAAAATCGGAAAGAGAAGACAAATAAGACCCCGATCTTTATAATCGTCTATTTACAGCACAAGGCGCAAGAGCGAGCACAACACATATTAACAGAAACTTTAAATTTTGATAATAATTGAAACACATTGACCTGTGATTCCGTGGCTACATTGTTTATAAATAAATACTTGCTTTTTAAATTATTCTTCCTTAATTTTCATTACGATAACTTTAAAAAAATAAAATGGAGAAGGTAATTGAAGTACACAAACAAGCGCTAGCAGTTTCTGAAGCAGTGGCTGCCGTGAACAGACTTTGGGATGAGGTGTATACAAAGCATCAACAGGATGTATCCAAAGCAATCAAAATGGGACATCAAGTACATGTGGCCTTTTATCGATTTTTAGAAGATATATACGTATTTTGCAACAGCAGTAGTCTCTTTTTGACGAATATAGTAGAAGAAATGGAAATCGCCAAACGGAATAGAAAATTTGATACTACCAGTGTTTCCGAAATCGAAAGAAGTACAACAATAATGTCTGGCGTTCTTAACACAAAAAGGGAGCAAAACGAAAGGCTGACAAAAGACATGTCGAATTCTATGAATGTTATGAATGTCGATAAGAAATCATTGGAGACAATTTTAGAACACTATTCTTCGCTTAGAACTGCTATCGAATCTGTTAGTGTTGGTGCCGCTATCGGTGCTTATACTACACCTTTTTTCTCGTCAATTGGAGCGGTTGCTACTGTTGGGCTCCTCCCTTTATGGCCCCTCATTGCTGCTGTGATATCCGGTGGATTTGTTGCTTATATAAAATATTTAAAAAAGGAGAAATTGGCAGCCTTAGCTAAACTCATGGAAAGTATTTTCGATAAGATGGTTGATTTACAGCAAAGATCCAAAAAATTCGAAGATAGTTTAGGGGGCATGGCAGAAGTGATGAAAGGTCTTACAACACAAGTTAAAAAAGTTATGCGATGCTCTCAAAGTCCTGAGGAAGACAGTAAAAGGGTTGTAGAACTGGCTAATAATATGCTTAAAGACAGTGAAAACTTGAAAGGCTGCTTTAAAAAAATGGGAGAAGAAGTTACTTCTGGTAGATCTAGCTTGCGATGTATAATTGTTTTGCATGACCCATATGAACTTATGGACGAATAAAGTTTAAAATAAATCCTTTTAAGCATAAGAAAAGCTGATTTACCTGTACATGTGTTGCATACAATAATCAAGTAGCACTCGTCATGTAACGTATTGAACCATGGTACCATTGCTTCTATGACGTCGGTGATATGTGATTGGCCAATTTAAAAATATTTTGTGTAGCAACAGTGGTTTTGTTATTCACGCCATTTCTTTTTCTTTAACAAAATGAATATAAACTCATTATCCGATTTCAAAATTCCCGATGTTTGGGAGGTTAAGGTAGAGTTTTTATATTTTAATGAATGAGGCCTAACAGCATATATTACTGTAAACAGGATGCCATCAATAAAATGTAAGTTTACTTTCAATTATTTCTGGGTTATTTTATTAAATATTGCATTTTTTTATCTGCACAGGAAAAGTGTGGTTTTGAATTACACCGAAATGGAGGCCAAAGTTCATGAGGCTACTAACAATGACCCCTGGGGTGCTTCTAGTACGCTTATGCAAGAACTTGCTCAAGGAACTTATAGTTAGTAAGGCTTTTTAGAAAAAAAAAATCACCTATACAAATATTCACACTGTCGCACAAACTAGCCAACATTTCAATGAAATCATGCCAACTGTTTACAGAAGATTTACAGAAAAGGAGTCCAAACAGTGGAGACAAATTTATAAGGTAATTAAGCCATTATTTATATATGAATATATGGATTTGTTAACAGGTCACTAGGCATTGGTACTTTTGGAATATCTTATCAAAAACGGTTCTGAACGTGTAGTTGACGACGCTCGCTCTCATGTATCTATGATCAAAGTTATGCGCAACTTTTACTATATTGATGATAAGGGAAAAGATGAAGGATTAAATGGTACAATATTTTATTGTTTGCGGCTAGACTAAACACTAACTTAAGTATAGTGCGTAACAGAGCAAAGGAAATTGTCGAGTTATTGAGCAGCACAGATAAAATTAGAACAGAGCGCAAATTAGCGAAAAAGAACCGCAACAAGTACATTGGTGTTGGTTCAGATAGTGCACCTAGTAGCAGATCTCTCGGATTTGCTTCTACTGCTACAGGAGGATCCAAATACGTAGGCTTCGGAAGCGCATCGCTAGGAGGTGGAAGCGGAGGAGGATTAAGTTTCAATGGCGACGCTATGAGCTATGGTGAAGCGGGATATCCCAAACAGAGCGGTAAATATGACCAAGATGATGATGGTTTATATCATAGTGAGGACGAATCTTCGAAGAACAAAAACGATCTTTTTGGTTCAGAGGATGAAGATGATTTTGGTTCCAGTAGCAAAAAAGCGACAAATGATGATGACTGGGGAGATTTTGCTTGTGGTGGCCCAGTCGAAGAAACCAAACCGACTGTTTCCAAAGATGACGATTTTGCTGATTTCCAGTTTGCGGTAGCAAGTAAACCTGACGCTCCCGCATCGAATAAGAGCCATGATTTGTTTGATCTTTTGGGTGATGACACTTCTCCATCTCAACAATTTGGCGGATTTACATCTCAACCTATAATTCCTTCGGCAAGCCAGCAACAACAGCAACAACAACAGCAACAACAACAAAACCAGCAGCAAAAACCCATAGAGGAAAAAGCTAAAAGTATCGAACCTATTGCGCCCACAGGTATGTGGGCTCAAGCATCCAATTTTGTTTCCTTAGACTCGTTAGGAAAGAAGTCCAACGGCAGTGGCCCTACTACTGGCCCTTCGATGAACTCATTAAAATCCAGTAGTGTACAATCGGACTGGAATAATTGGGCAAGTAATAACCAACAGGCGCCACCACCACCAAAAACACCCAGCAAGACCTCTGCTTTTGATGACCTTTTGTTCTAATTCCCTATCTCATCTCTTGTATTTTTTATAATAAATATTTATTGTGTTACACTGTTAAAGCAAAACATAAAGTTAATTGTACTCATAAAAATAGCTTATCAAACGACACGCCAAATATAGCCGGTATCTTCAGTGCGAAGTACAATATGACCAAATAGGCGTTGTTTTAAATACAACATCATAAAATAGACTTTCCACTTTTTCCCTTTTTTCTTCTTTATAAAACCATTTTATATAATATGCCCACTACTGTTTACTACGGCACACTTGTACACTCTATATCTCTTAAGGAGATGGAGATTATCTCGAATGGTGTCTTAATTGTCAATGAGGAAGGTGCCATTGTCCAAATCGAGAAGGACATTAAAGATCTCGAATCCTTTTTAGCAACTTCAGGTCATAAAGATTCCAAGGTAATTAATCAAATTGTAATGATGAATAATTTATTTACCCCTATCCTTCAATAAGATTCACATTTTGGGTGCCGAGCAATTCCTCGTGCCTGGCTTCGTTGATACTCACGCAGTAAGTATAAAAGCGTGTTAGCCGTATTAGAATTCTAATACAGGTAATTTTTTGAATAGCATGCTCCCCAATATATGTTTGCAGGATCAGGAATGGATCTTCAACTTCTGGAGTGGCTTGATACACACGTATTCCCATGTGAATCTGCTTTCAAGAGCGTGGAACACGCAGGCAAGGCATATACAAAGGTAATCGAGCGTTTTCTTTTAAATGGTACCACAACATGCAGTTGGTTTGCTACTATTCATCTTGGTGGGTGTAAGAAATTGGTGGATATTATTCAAGATTTGGGTCAACGTGCGTATGTTGGTAAAGTGAACATGGATCAAAATGCACCAGACTATTATATTGAGGACACCGAATCCAGTTTAAATGATACGCGTACATTTATCGAATATGTCCAAGAAAAAAAATCCAACCTGATCACACCTGTTGTTACACCTCGTTTTGCCATTACATGCTCCACGCCACTTATGAACGGTTTGAGTCAATTGGCTAACGAATACAATGTTCCCATCCAAACTCATTTGTGTGAAAATCATGATGAAATCGATTTCACTTGTTCGCTTTTCAAAGATTCCAAAGATTATACTAGTGTATATGATGACCATCATCTCTTAAACGAGCGTTCTTATATGGCCCATTGTGTTCACATGACAGACGCAGAAATTGATATGCTGGCTGAACGAAAGACAGGTATCGCTCATTGTGCAAACTCTAACTTCTCATTACACAGTGGCGTCTGTGATGTGAGACGTTTCTTAGAAAAGGGTGTAAAGGTTGGTCTAGGCACCGATGTTGCTGGTGGATTTTCACCTTCCATGTTAGATGCTGTTCGATCCACTTTCTTTGCCTCCAAAACAGTTAAGATATTACACCGTGATGGACCCTTAAAGGACAAGGATTACGCTCCTTTGACCCCCTCAGAATTACTCTATTTGGCTACATTAGGTGGAGCTCAAGTTTTAGGTTTACAGGGACAAATTGGTAACTTTGAAAAGAACAAGGCATTCGACGCTCTTTGGGTGGATTTAGAGCATGGATCGATCGACTTAATGGGTGGCGAGACCATGCATCAAAAGATTGAAAAGTTCTTATTTAATGGAAGCGACCAAAACTTGAAGCACGTTTATGTTCAAGGTAGACGCGTCGCTGGTAAGAGTACGCAATAAGGACAATGCATAATGGCTTATCCATTCTGTATAAAATAAAAAAGTTCATTTCCAATCATCACCTGTGTTTTATTTGACTAGTATATTGTTATCCCTGGTATGGTATCTCATAAGCGTTATAACACCAGGGAAGATTTATGCTTTACTGAATCAACCAATTAATCAATTATACCATCTTGATATAGGCTTCTTTTGCTTATCATTTTTACTATAAACACAATGTTTCTCTTCTTCTTTTTATACGATAAACGGTTCATGAAATGAAGAATAAAGGCTATAGAGACAATAAATGGGTTCATTCTACTAATCAAATACTAGTGGGATGTGAGTGATAGTAAATTCTCGGTTAACCACCGCTATACGGCCTATCCAAGTCCGGCTCCTCAACCTAGATTACTGAGCAGTCCACAAATTTTTTAAAAAAGACACGTAGGCTTATAAGTCTTATGAAAAAAAAAATGATTCCATGGATAACTACCACATAAAATTTGTAATTCCAAAGTTTTAAACTATCACATTATATAGCGGTCGTATAATGTTGAGGGGAAACATCTAACATCAATAGCACTAAAACTCTATTTGAAGAAAGTATTGTCGAGATAAGGATGTATCTTTCCCGCAACTAGCACTGCCAAATTCTACGATGATAACGAGACTTGTGAAAGGGTTCATAAAATTACACAAAATGCCTGAACGGCATGTTCGACAAACTGGCAATAAAACTTGTTTCGATCAGCAACAGATATTGATACTGTTGGGTTTATACTCAGGTAGTCGTTCTATTCTGTGCTTAACAAAGATTGCCTAGCTTGTGCTCCGTTCACATCAGCACCGAGATATGCAACTTAGTTCATACTGCAGTCTTTTCCTTGTACTCTGTTTAAATATCTAGGGAGATTGTGGATCGGAATTAAAAGTTGCCTGGCTCATCCGCTGTTATCGATAGTGCCGTATCAGGTTGGCTAGCACTAGCACCGACATTCTGAATGGCCATAAAATATTGGAAAGTAAACATTGAATCGTTGTGCAACAGCACTTGTATGACCAACAAAGTAGAATGGAATTCTTATCTGAAGTGCGATTCATTATTTTCCCATAAGACGAAAGTTGGGTGAGCCAATCCTTTAATGATAATCCATAGAGAGAAAGGACAATACGTTATCTTATTACCACTGGATTTAGGGTACAAAAATAATGTCTATTTACTACTAAATGCATGTTCACTTTTTCTAAAAGAGTTGTTCCTCATCTTCAGAGAATGCATAATTTTGTAAAGAACATCTATTATTTATAAGATTTAAAAGTAAATCAAATTACACGAACATATTAAAGCATAAAAATTAAAAGTAAGAGGAGATGCATCAATTAAATTTCCAAGAAAGGGTTTACTGAAAGGCAGTGGCAGTTTTGACATCAAGATAAGCCACATACATTTGGCCAATCAGGTTATGCGGTTACTAAATTTTTTTTTTCTCAGAAAGCAGTGCTATCAGAGGAACAAGCATGCAAAATTTTTTTTCTCCCTCTTTCGTTTCTCTACGTAAATTTCATCGTAAGTTTCGATTTCAACACAAAATAGATTACTTTACAGCAATGATAGAAATAATATTTCGACATTCACAATCTGTTAAACAAAACGAGAAAAAAGGCCCGAATTGACGAATTGGTATTTTTTTTTTAAATTATAGAAAATGAGTGCCGATTTGGTCTGGGCTATTATCAAGAACAACAACTCTTTCCTTGTTAAGCGTCAAAACGTTCAGTTCTCTGCTGAACCCGCTAACTTGAAGAACGTTAACTCTTTCAAGTACTCTGGTCTTGCTAACTACAAGGTAAAATAATATAAGAGATGACCTTTCAAAAGAAAATTTTTTCTTACAAGTGTTTATTTAATAGACTGTTACCATCCTCCCCGCTGCCCGTGGTGTCCGTGTCACTTTGCGTAAGGCTAACAAGGAGCAATCCCCCAAGAAGTCTGCCAACACTGTTGTCATTGCCAAGTCTGGCCGTAAGACCTCCAAGTCTATTGCTAACTTGATTGCTCGTGGTAACAAGTACAGACCCGATCTCCGTGCTGTAAGTTGATTTCGTGGATGGATTTATAAGATGGGATTTTATTGACGTTTTATTTATAGGCTGCCGTTGCTCGTGCCTCTGCTATCCTCGCTACCCAAGCTCCCAAGAAGACCTTGAAGTTGCGTGAAGCTAAGGGTCCCCGTGCTCAAAAGAACTAAATTTTTTGTTTCTTGACTTCTACCTCATTAAATAGCAAAGGCTAATAAACGGACTTTGTTAATTATGTACATCTTTAATTTTAATTTTCTATTCGTTTTTTTTATTGTGCCATGAAGTATATCGGAAGGATGACAGGAAATTGTGGCTTGGCGCTAATTTGCAATATTTTTTTTTTACACCCAACTCCTGCTAAAGTAAACCGATTCCTGCGCTTAACACGATTTTCGGGCTCGATTCAATAACGTCGGCGGATCCTCCACGTTGAATACAGATACTGATTCTACATTACAAAGATATAAATGTTAAATGGGGCATATTAATCATGCCCATCAGTACATATATTTCATCGCATCTTGATCGGCATCCGAATTACATATTAGCGTTTTGGGTAGGCTTAAGTTGCTTGGAAAATTATTTAGACAACAGTTATCACCTAGGGCTCATTTACTTGTAATAACCTTTGAGAACCTCCTCCCTTTGGAATGTCAAATAAAATATCTTTTTAAACTTCGTTTTTCATACTTGACTGTAGCCTAGAATCGGTCAATCGGGTTCAAGTCTGGAGCGTACAGAGATATTTGCATTCGTAGTCTTTGTTTCTATTTATCACAACCTGGTTTACTTCATCCGATAAATAGATCGGGTTATAATCCATAATAACGTAAAAACTTTCAATTGTAGGATATTTGTTCATGATTTCCAATGTCTCTCTGATAAAATTAAGATACTAGCCAGCTGTTGTCTACCATCTTGGATCTTGATTTTTTTAGTTGGCACATGTGCTCGCAACTACACTAACAACGCCTATAACCCGAAATTACTCTAATAATGGTATGAAATACTACTCTAGTACTTGCAGTTCGAATCCTAGCTTCGGCACTATGTCTAGACCAAGATCTACTGTGTTTCACGTTTAGGTCAAGCCCGGACTCGTCAATAGATATACATGTCTCCATAAAGCCCATTTACACTCCCGCCTATTTCGATCTGTTTCTAACGATTTTTTTTTTACCTTTACGGGGTCCTAGATGCAACGTGGAGACTTTCAAAGGCAGGTTCGTCTTTAATAAACTCACGCACACTAGACTTCTTGATACCAAGCCCTACTGAAGCTTCTGTCAAACTTTTACAGTAAATCTAATTTTTCATTCTTAATTCCTTATATTTATATCAGTTACTACGTTCATCAAAGGCGAAGCCTTCAGATTCGGGACTTTTTTCTATGTTCAAAGTGAAAAAAGCAATTATGTTTGTCACAATTTATTAAACGACAGAAATGTGAATCAATCCTTGTATTTTTGGAACAACTCCGTTGCGTTAATGATATCAACGTTACCACCACAGAGAATGACACCGATTCGTTTAATTTTATTGGCTTTTACAGCGTCTTGAAAATCTTTGTTGTAAAGAGCTACAGCAACACCGACAGCTGCACTAGCCTCGATACACAACTTCATTCGAGCCCAAATCAACTCCATGGTATTGATAATTTCTTTTTCTGAGACTGTGAAAACATCATCGACATTCTTGTGGATTTCAGAAAAAGCAATATCACCCAAATTGGTCAGAAGACCATCCGCAACGGACAATGAAGATTTGTTTGTCAAGCGCTCATTGTTTTTGAAAGACCGGTAACAGTCGTTTACACACTCAGGTTCTGCTGCATATACTTTGATAGCAGGATTTAAAGATTTAGCTGCAATAGAACAACCTGTCAACATACCCCCTCCTCCTACAGGGACAATAATAGCATCCAAGTTTTGGACCTGAGAAAGCAGCTCGAGTGCAATTGTGCCTTGTCCTGCAATGACATTAGGGTTATTAAAAGGATGAACAAAAGTAGCGCCTGTTTCCTCTTGTACTTCAGAAGCCTGAAATAAAAAACCGGTTAAAAGGTACAAGTTACAAGAAAGAAAGAAAGGTGCCTACGGTTTTCTCGCGGACAGCTTGCAAAGGCTCACATTCGATAACTGTTGCGCCATAGCCAATCACAGCAGCCTTTTTGACGGAAGGTGTGGTGTTGGGCATAACCACATAGGCTTTAATACCTCGGTTTTTGGCAGCTAAAGCAATAGCCTGAGCATGGTTACCAGACGAGTGAGTGACAACACCTTTGGAAGCTTCCTCGTCAGTCAATAGTTCAACAGCATTGCTAGCTCCTCTGTATTTAAAAGCTTAATAACAGTTAATTTTTCGAGAATTGTAGATAGACTTTGGGCTATATTACTAATACGTACAACCCGTTTTTTGAAACAATTCACATTTAAAAAACAATTGAACTGGTGCATCCTCTCGAGAAGCGAGATTGTCTAATGTCGTGTTTGTGTGTACCGGGGTGCGGTGAACAGTAATACGCTCTGCAGCTTGAACAATATGATCGATAGTAATGTGACTCATAACAAATAAAAAAGAAACCTCGCGTAGATAAGGATGCTTTCTGATTTATACCACTGATGCAAGGTTAAACCCCGATTATGGAATTTGGGGCTTGTAAGTTGGGATTCTACATAAAAGGAAGTTTTACATGCTTCCAATGTCACGAACCAATGTACCCTATATGTCTTTTCATAAGTACAGTAGTATGCTAAGTTCGATCTGAACAATACTAAAACAAATAATCCAACAAAATAAAAGTATATTCAGGACTATATGTACAATATTTCCATACACAATTCAAATCTAGATTGTTTCTTCTCGTTTGAAATCTTCACTGGGGAGCCATAAATATGTACAATCGGAAAACCTGTGACAGAATATATATGCAGTACAACCTTGCGCAGAACGTATAGGGCACTCTTAGAAATTTAAGCTCCTTCAATCATGCATTTTTTTACAGTCTGGCATCTACAAGCTCACGTCACACTTCGTCTTTAAACAACTTCCACTCTTGATGTAGCGCATCCTCCAATTCATTTAAATTGTGAAGCTGGGCACTTCTCTTTGCAATCAGGTTCCAAAGTAATCGACGTCTATGTGTCACCAAGTGGTCACTCTAAAAGCCCAATTGCAGCTAGAGATATGACAACGGATATAGACTATACGAACATAAGTGGTTGCGCTGGGATCACTTAGTGTAAGTTTTAAAGGAATGGATAATATAGAGAGACCTTCATACTATCTCTCATTTTTCATTCGCTCCTCTCACTTTCCTCTCACTTTTTCTCACTTTCCTCTCACTTTCCTCTCACTTTCCTCTCACTTTTCTCTCACTTTTCTCTCACTTTTCTCTCACTTTTCTCTCACTTTTCTCTCACTTTTCTCTCACTTTTTTCTTATTTTTCTTTCAAAAATTGTTCGATACAGCTTTTTTGACGCGTTTATTCTCGACTACTAAAAGAAGGTTTCTTTTTTTGTAGTTGGTGCGAACTTAGAAGATACTTTTGTTAAATATGAGCAGAGACAGATGATGGTTTACGACTGTATAAAAAAATTTGCTTTGTAATCGTTGATTTAGCAACTTTATCCACAGATCCTTATGATCCCTTACTTTTAATGAGGTATGTTTTTATACTACACTTACTTATTGATAACACATACACACACATACTAACTGACGTAATCCTTCATAAAAACAATGGGCATTTTAAGCATATAGTTGTCTATTGCTATAATTATGTTGGAAAGTATGAAGGGTACATAAGCGGTAATATCTTTAACCCCCTGGACAATTGGATTCATTTGATTGTCATTCAAAACTGCCACACCACTCCAATAAGCAAACTATAGTCAGAATAATTGTCAAATGATGAATAGCTAATTTTTTATTTTGTTTTTATCTTTTTTTACATTATCTTGAATTCGGGCTTTTCTATATGCATGGAGGGACTAGAGGTTAGATTGATGTACAAATTCGCTTACACAATTTTTAAACACATATTTACAATGTGGAGGGTTGTGTGTGTGTGTGTGTGTGTGTGGGGGGGGGGGTATTGTGATTCCGGTCTTCTGAATCTTGGCGGAGACTTACTTGTCAGTACAGCCAGATCCACAGCTAATGTCTCTATTCCACAAGTTGTTGCAACTCTTGCAAGTTGAGAGACCATGAACTCGTCAATATTATCATTATTTAAAGATCTGGTCAAACACGTAGAATTGCCGCAGATCTCAAAAAAAAAAACTAGGTTGTAGTAAGCCAAATGATATATGTAAAAAATAAAGATGATAAACAAAAGAAGTGACGATACCTACATAAAGCTGTCGAGAATTTCTCGTGTTACATTACAACCGCATGTCAAGAATATGTTAAAACTGATTGTTTCCTTGTGCTTAGTAAATCAGGGTACCCTTTTCCCGCAATCTATCACGTTATGCATAACTTTATTTGTATAGACTATCAATCACTACAAATTGTACACTGCCGAAAGTATTTAGTGTATTTTGTTTCAACCATATGTACATTTGCAATAAAATCATTTGTATGACGGTAAAATATCGGAATAAATAATATGACTAAGCACTAGTTTGTAAAATGGCTATTTCTGGTGAAGTAAGTCAGTTCAAACCTCAATTTTTTACTAGTGAATTTGTTTATTCATATGTATATATAATTTCCATGTAGCTATTGTGGGGCAAATGTTTGTTTGGGAAACGCACAGAGCCATCCGATTTGTCGCTTTCCCAAAAGAAAAAAAAAGGGATGATCGCCATTTGATTGTGACATTTTTGGGCTTTGAAGGATATATCAAGCAATTCAGTCTAGTTACATCAAAATGGACCCAGTGTGGTACGAACGCGTAAAAAAAAGTTTCTGGGACGACCGGAAATGGTATGTGTAAACATATGACATCGATTAAACCGATAAGTAACTGATTAAAGCCGGTATAGACGGACGATATGTTCTGATGAAGACGGGCTTGTGGAATATAATACGAAAACAAACAATTGTGAAGTTCACATGAGTTATACACTATTTCTTAGATAATAAATAAAGAACTACAAATCGAGCGTGTGTAATGCCGGGACAGATAAAAGCACCTGAACATAAAAAAAGGAAAACCCCTAAAATAAAAGAAGGGTTCGCTTACGTAATATATGACAAGGGAAATTTTCTGTCCTGTTCTGAATATTTATAGCTTCTAAATAAATAAATAAAAAAAAAAACGAGTCTTAAAGCTGTTGTCATTGTGCCGTTTAGGTTATGCAAGTATGATGTAACTAAAAAAAGTAAACTAGATTTTTCTGGAAGCTAATTTTTTTGGTAATTGTGATGGGGTAGAAAATTTATCTTTAATTGAATATGAACACAGACGTGCTACTAATACAGCTGTAACGAACGTGGCACTAACAACACGGTTGTTAGGACAGAAGCGTATGGCATCAGAGTATTATCATTGAGAACAATAGTCTACGACTGGGGTTAAATGTAGTGTCGCGGTTATAACTGATTGACGTAACCTGTTAGTAACTGGGGGAGAAAAAAAAAAAGAAGAAAATCTAGATTACATGAAGAACACTATTGATGATAGGAAAATTTTTCTTTATTCGGCTCATGCTTAATCAAATGTATTCATTTATGCATTAGGGGAGCACTTCTGTTTTGTATCAAAGAGGAGCACGAATATGCGTGATTTTTATGCCGTTAATGTGAATGGGGTTGATTATCGTATTGATCTTTCATGTATGTTTTTTACCCGTTTCCCTCCCATTTGTGAAACAAATAAGCGTTCCATCAGGTTTTGGACCGTGCGGATTGATGAGGTAAGAGATGGAAATGGTGTAACTAGAGATATATTAGATTATAGGATAAGCAAATCAGTTCAATTGATGTCTATAGGTACTATATTAAATTATATTCAAGGTTCAATATAGAACCCTAATCCCCTTCTTTTTCTTGTGGACGGCATTTTTTATAATCGGGACTTGATCAACCCGGGATTTTAAAAAGGATAACCTACTTATTTTTTGCGGACTTTTTTTTTTTTTTTTTGTTGCAAACATAAAAGGGAGCTCCAGTTTCTAAAACAAGATTATTATCTCTTTTTTTTTCCACTTTTACACAACAACCAAAAAAAAAAAATGTCCTTTGCTAGAAAACCCTCTGCTGTTGGTAACGAACGCCATCATCCCCACACTCTCTCCACTCTTGTAAGTATTACGCGTTTTTATTTTGTGTTTATTATTTTCCTAAGACAAAGTGTTTAGGATTTCCAAGGTGCTAGTTCTGCCGCTGCTGCTAAGGCTATGAAGTCCGAGTTAGCCAAGTTGGGTTCTCAAATCCAAAATGAGGAAGAACGCAAGGTAAATATTCGTTGTTATATAATTTCCGTGGTAACTATTCGTTCTAAACAAACATCATATAGTACTTTTCTCAAGAAATGGATGGTTTCTATATGCTCTTTACTCGTTACTTGGATGAGAAGACTAAAGGAAAGAAGTTGTAAGTTATTATTATACTTGGGGGACAAAGGAAATTTTTATTTATCCTATTTGTTATCTTTTTTTTTTATATAGGGAATGGGAAAAGATCCAAACTCCTTCTTCTGAACAAATTATTCATTATTCTACTATGCCTGAAGTCACTGAGACTGCTGATCTTGAAAAGTTGGCTGTTCTCAAGTTAAATGGTGGTTTAGGTACTACCATGGGCTGTGTTGGTCCCAAGTCTGCTATCGAAGTGCGTGACGGTATGACCTTTTTGGATTTAAGTGTTCGTCAAATTGAAGTAAGTACTGAAACAAGTTTTTGTTTATTTATTTTTCATGCTAACCTTATTTCATAATAATAGTACTTGAACAAAAAGAACGACGTCAGCGTTCCTTTTATTCTCATGAACTCCTTCAATACTGATGATGATACTAAGCGTATCGTTCAAAAGTATGCTACTCACAATGTTGATATCATTACTTTCAATCAAAGTCGTCATCCTCGTATTAACAAGGAGTCCATGTTACCTGTCCCTCGTTCTCCCGCTTCTCCCATCGAACAATGGTAAGTGATTAGTGATTGTGTCACATAGTAAGAAACTAAACCATATTCTGCTAGGTATCCTCCCGGTCATGGTGATTTGTATGAATCTATTTACAATTCTGGTCTTCTTGACCAACTTTTGGCTCAAGGTAAAGAGTATCTTTTTGTTTCCAACGTTGATAACTTGGGTGCTACGGTTGATCTCAACATTCTCCACCACATGGTTGAGACAGAAGCTGAATTCCTCATGGAAGTCACTGACAAGACAAAGGCTGATATTAAGGGTGGTACCCTTGTTGATGATGATGGTCATATCAGATTATTAGAAATTGCTCAAGTTCCTGATGAGCATGTTGAAGACTTCAAGTCCGTAAAGAAGTTCAAGATTTTCAACACCAATAACTTGTGGATCAATTTAAAGGCAATTAAGCGTGTTATGGATGAAGAGGCTATGGATCTTGAAATCATTGTTAATAATAAGACCACTCCTCAAGGTGAAAAGGTCATTCAACTTGAAACTGCTGTTGGTGCTGCCATCAAGCATTTCAAGAATGCTCATGGTGTAAACGTGCCTCGTACTCGTTTCTTACCCGTAAAGTCTACTTCTGATCTTTTCCTTGTTACATCCAACTTGTACTCTCTTATTCATGGTCGTCTTATTGTCAACCCCGATAGAATGTTCAGTAACGTACCTCTCGTCAAGTTGGGTGATCACTTCAAGAAGGTCAATGATTTCTTGACTCGCTTTAAGACTATTCCCAAGATTTTAGAACTTGATCATTTGACTGTTACTGGTGATGTCTGTTTCGGTTCCAAGGTTGAACTTCGTGGTACCGTTATTATTGTCGCCAATCACGGTGAGCACATCGATATTCCTTCTGGTACCATTTTGGAAAACAAGGTTGTAACTGGTTGTTTACGTATCCTCGACCACTAATTTTTTTTTTTTACTCTCATTACTACTATTATTCCCTCTGCATTCAATTGTTTCAAAATAAATAAATAAAAACCCCCCACCATTTTATATATGTAATTTTTATTTATTTTAATTCATACTCTTTTGAATCTTACCAAGTAAAACATCCATTTGTGATGCCATCTTGGGCTGGCCCTTTTTAGTCTTTGCCAACATTTTTGTGCGTTCTTCACTTCTGCCTTTATAATACTCAACTCTAGCTTTCTTTGCTTCCTTAAAAGACTTTTGACGTTCCTCTTTTTCTTGTTGGGAATCTAATTTACGCTTCTCACGTACTTGTAATTGTGTCTTGAAAGGGTTAGGCTTTGGTAATCGAGTCATTGCCTCTAATCTCTTTTGTCTCTTATTTAAACGCTGTGTGTCTTCATTATCATCCTTCTCATCTTCCTCCTCTTCTGAAGAAGATTCCTCATCTAAATCAAACACTTGGTCTTCTTCTTCTACATTTTCCCTTTCGAGTTCGACTACATTACCGTCTTTATCAATAGTACGCTCTGGTGTACCAAAGATCTATAAGGAATTTCAGTAACAGTCCATTTTACAATCGAGGCACCATGCATTACCTCTTTCACATAATCAGGTGTATCTTCACCCGTTTCTGCATCCTTGTTTAAGGTTTTATAATATTGACTTTTGACAGTTGCTTTATGAATGAGCTCATACTTTCTTTTTTGTTCTAAAACGAGGAATTTAATATATATCAATGCATGCCGAGATTCCTCTAGACTTACGCTTTCTTTGCAAAGGTGTCAAGGGCTTTCTAGGCTTCTTTGGTTGGGTTTTAGGAGGCATGTTGGTAAGAGTGTGAAAAGAGTTGAAAATAAGAAGAAAAAAAAATTATATTAAAAAAAAGCCAGTCAGTTTATTGTAATTCATGCACCGTATAAGCCACATTATTCACGTCTGTCAAACCCGCTTTCCACAGACATTAACTCCAAATCCGCAAAGTCGGTTGCCATGCTTTTGGCATCATGTGTTTGATAAATTACATAGATGATACATGCGGATATAAAGGAGGATGCAACAAAAATGATATCTGACCAATGTTGAAAAAATACAAATTCAACCGAGTGTAAAGAAGATGAAATCAAATACCTATTTTTTTTTTGTAAGCAAAAGTTAGATTAGATCATGAATAATACTTGTAACATACCTGTACTCAGCTGGTAAGCTCATTTGCATCATCAAGACTGAACTCAAGAAATACATCCCCATCATGTGTGCAGCAAACAAAAGTATGCTACTTGTTGAAAATGTAACCTTGTGCATAAACACTCGGAGTAACCGAGTCAGTAACTTTAAAAATCCACGTACGGAACCGAAAACAATAATTCCTGCAAACCAAAAACTGAGCTGTTGAGACCAGAATACCGGATCAATTTTAAAATCAAGATTATTTCTGTCTAAATGGCTCATCATGATGGATAACACTTTAGTGATTGGATCCGATGATCCTGTACGTTGGAATATCACGTTAAATGTAGTCTATGTCAACGTATTAGTGTTCGTGTTGAGCAATCCGTGACATAACATACCACAATTAATTTATAGATACAGTATACCGCAAATATTAAATCCACAATTTTCCAAATCTTTCCTTTCCATGTTTGAGAGAATCTACTTTTCGCTCTACCTCGTTCCAACTCATCTAAATCCGACTTCATGTTCAAGGCCAGACCTTCTAATTGCTCGATCTCTATCTGTAAAAGGACGGTCTCTACAAATGACAAGTTAAAATCAGGTCAACCACTTAAAACTCTCTTTGACATACCGCTGTCTTCAGATCCACTAAAAATAGATGACATTTTACCAAACAATGTGGCTGATTTGGGCTTTTCCTTTTTATCCGACAATTCTTCCTGTTTGTACATTCTTTCTAACAAGGCCTTTTTTTCATGAATGATCGCCTCCGTTTGCTTATATGCTCGCTCGGCGACAGTGTAATCCTGTTCACTGACTTTTCGCTTGAATGAAGACCACGTATTAAATGGTGTATTGACCACACCAAATCCAGACAAAATAGAGATCAATGTGATTCCAACAATACTAATTCTTACAATACCAAGTTCTATCCAGGAAGTTGAATGGGCTAAATGAGACAAGTCTATTATTATCATCATCATCATCATCGGGAATTGAAATAAATGTAATGTAACAAACCTAAGGTTGAATATTGCTCAATTTGGCTGAAGAGATAGAGATATAAGATCCATATCACTGTGGTTATGTATACAGACGGTTTGGTCTTCCAGCCTGAAATATTGTTAAAATATTTCCTCTAGTACGATAATATGGGACTGACCTTGAGTGGTGTGTAGAAATGCATAAAGTTGAAACCAAGGTATAACAACAATGACTAAAAGTAGCAATATGTCAAGGTTGAATTTCCAATACTGCGATCTTGCACTAAAAAACCTCAATGTTACAATACACTCTCATTGACAAAAACTGTGCTTTCTTACGTGTTTGAAAATAAATGAACAATTTCCCCAAACACCAACAAAAATAAAGTGCATGAGCTGCTTAGGGTTAATGAAAATAATAGGTGCGGTATGTACAGAGGGTTGTTGAATTCGAAATATTTAGGCGGCTTATAGTCGTGAAATATCAGTTTTGCCACACTTGTTGATCCTAATGTCAATAAAAGTATTTGAATGGAGACGAATATAATATTATCTGCAGCAGCCATTTTTTTTGTAATAAAAAGGAATAGAGAAACGAATTAGGCTTATATAATTTTAGCCCGAAATCCCAGCATTTCCAGATAAAGTTACACTTACCTGCCCGCTTTTGGTTTCAAATCTTGAATTAGTTTGAAGTTTTTAAAACAGTGGAGATACATTTTTTCAAATTGAAAGTATGAGTGTGAGTGCAAAGAAAATACACCGACTGCTACAACTTGCAACTGAAACGTGTTCAAATTACTTGACGAAAAGAGATCACCTACAAATAAAATGCAATAACTCTTGCAGTCAACTGATTTTTTTTTAAAAAGGAAGCACCACTTTCTATTCACAAGGAAAATAGAGACACGGGAATATTGTAGATACATGATTATTGGGAGGAGAAGGTGAGTTCGAGCTTTATACATTGTAGGAACACTACTGTTTTTTTAGCCTGCAGGTAACATAAAGTACCAACAACATTTTGTATCATAATATTTTATTAAAAGCATATATTGGGATTTAATCATCATTTAGAAGAGCTATAGGGTTGTTTTGAAGGATAACCTCTTTGGTCTTTACTAGATTTTCCTGAATCGCATTTAGGAGAAACTCGAAACGATCTTTCAGTTCTTTAGTGGTGTTTGATAAAGTTACAATTTGAGTTTGTATGGAATCACGATCAAGGTTTGCAGAATGGTCAATTTTCAGACTGTAAGTCTTGTTTATGACAAAACTTCCTAATTTCTTGAGTTTATGGTTCATCAGAATAGTCTCCTCTGTTAATTTGTTTAAAATAACATTGATATCACCACACTTTTTCTTTTTACGTAGAAAAGACACATTAAAAATATTGGTTGCGGCAATAATAGTGCCAACAATTATCAGTGTTTTCCTTCCCAACGCAATTGGTCCAAGATGAATTAAAGCGAACCCACAAAGTAAACCTTTAAAAATAGTCTGGTTATGAATTGTCGAGGTGTTTAGTGATGGGTCTTCAGTGTATTGGATTCTCTTCACAACTTCCATTGACCCGGTACTCTTATTTTTATAACGATTAAATGTTTTTTCAAATGTTTTAGTCAAAAGGCGTATTTCCCGAATGACTTGACTATGGAGTTTTCCTGTCTTCTTTGCTATGGATAGCTCTTCCAAAGTTAAACAAAAGATACGTACAACCTCTTTGCACAAGTCTAACATATTTTTCCAGCACTTGTATACAGAATGGTCCCACGTATTCCACTCTTGTAAAGATTTTGTTGCCAAAGCATCTGTTGATGTGTTGCGGTATTCCATTATAACATCCCACAAACCACCCACAGACACAATAGACTGTGTTATGTCATTAAAATAATCTTCAATTTGGGTTAAGAGTCTTCTCTTTTCTTCTTCCATATCAACACTTGTATTCATGATTTACTTTATTTGACAAAAAAAAAAGAAAAAAAAAAGTTTCTTATCACAACAAAGGTTTTTTTTTTGATTTATAGTAATCGGGACAGTCCGAAATGAGAAATAGCTAATTTATCACTTATAATAACCTGTTCGGTTGCACATAGACAACATTTCAGTTAGTTCAAACATTGAAAGGCCTGAAAAATGTCTTTAAGCAGCAGACATAAAAAATAGTAGAACCATTCAGTGTCACCCACCTCAACAAGTTTAGAGAGTATTTATTTTGCGGCGGCTGATTTTAAAGAAGATTAAATCTTTTAAATCTGACAGATAACAGCTAGTGAGGAGTTGAACACAATATTAGATACATCAATTGACAAAGACCAATTTCATGCTTGGAACTTACATTAATATCCTACTGTCGTTTCAGCCTATCCGAATGTAGCAATTTATACTACGCTATAATGTTTGCTGTTTCCCACAAGGTGATACAACTTCGACAAATTATAAAGAAGAAGAAAAAAAACTTGCATATACGGATATATTCTATTTGATTAAATTCATCCCAAAATGTGATGTGGCAATGGTTTTATCTTAAGATCCATGAGAAACCTCAGCAATAGTTAGTCTTTTGACAATCATCATTTATTAAAGCATTATTATGCCATAAATGTATTTTTTGAATCGATTTCATTTGTGAATCTCTTGTGAATTCTTTAAATGAATGGCATGATTCTCAACATTTTGTATAACAAAGATTACCTACTTTTTAAGAAGGAAATTCGGATATTGCTCTTTTTTAGGCACGATACATGTGTTGATGTAAATCAGACGATAGAAATGACTTATGTCTAGACAGCTAAAAGGTTTTACTTTGTAGGCTTCATCCGATTGGTATTACTATAATAGTAGCGACCTTGTAGTTACTCCTGACTAGAAAATCGAATTGGAGGGGAGGGGGGGGGGCGGCGGCGGCAGTAACCAGTTTATTGGGATCTGTGGAACGTATAAGTCTTATGTTGTGTACCCTAATTTTGCTCTGCATTCGTTGTTAGTAATGCATGCTCTTTGGAAAGAAGGAGAAAGGTAAAATATTTACCAATGTTTATTATTTCCAGTTTTGGTAAAAGTATTCAGTTTCTCCTTTCTTTTATTGTGTACCATGCGTTCGGTTCTAACTTGCTACTGCGATTTATTTTTTCATTGTCAATGCAAGTAATAGAACATAAAATTTAGTCTTGTTTGTTTTAAATGACTATCATGGCCGTAATGTGGAAGGAACTGTGTGGTGATGCAAAAAACAGAAAATAGGTTTCTGTATCACAGACGATGAGAATTCCAATTTAAAAGGACAATGAATATCTTTTTCCCCCCACTTATTTTGACTCCTATCAGATTAAATCCCAGGTGGTCATAGTTAATACGGGTGGCACCTTTCAGTACTTTGTTTATAAAGTCAAATACGAACCTTTTTCTTTTCTTAATTATCTATTAGATAACTTTTTTTATTTGTGCCTCATCGACTTTATTACAATTTTAACTATGTTTATAATCCCACAAGTGGTTCCCAAGACATCCACACTTGCCCCTTCTTTGTTTGAAAATGATACTTCTCCTATGCTCACAAGCCTACAAGAGGCAACAAGAGAGGAATTCTTGCAAGTGTATCCTACTAAACGCCATATGAATACGGCTCCTATAACTGCCACACCACTCCCATTTGAATTGCCAGCTCCTGCTTTCCAGACCGACCGTGAGCCAACACCAGAGACAGAGACAGAGCGTAGTGAGAGCGTCATCTCGCGCCGCCGCAGCCCTCCTGCTGACATTGTGTCTGGTCATGCCTATTACCGTCGACTGAGTCAAGCTGTCTTGCAAAGACTCAATGTTTTTCATTCGGCAGCGCCATTAAACCAAGATGTGGTGAACGGCGTTTTAAGGTTCTATGTCTCGGATGTGTGGTCTATGTTATCGACCAGCAACCAGTACGTACGTGTACGATTGGTGCAGTTAAGACGCTTTCAGGACACGCATACAATGTTCGATCTGGCCCGAAGATACAGCAAAGGCAATGTTCTGATGGTAACAAGGAACTCAAAGCCTGATACGTGCTTCCGTTACTTTTGTTTGGTCTTTCCCCGTCCAGATAATCACCTAAAGGTTATGGCCAACGAGATGGTGGAGGGTAGGTCGCGTAGCCCTTTCAGGAAGATGGCCATCTGGACGGCGTACATGTTTTATATGGCGAATATGATTGAAGGTGGGCGGGATAAAGAAGCTACCGAGTTCTATCAGCTACTCGAGCGGACCTTCTTTACTGCATTTCGAATGATGCCGTATATCGGGCCCGATAGCAAGTTTGTGGTGGTCAAGGGCAAGTTGACCTTTGCTCTCATTCCACCTCTCATGATGGGAGTCGCTATCTTCTTTTTTTTAATAAAATATACTCTTTTAAACTTTATTTATGTCTTCTATAAAAATTATCTCTTGACCTTGTTTGTAATATCCGATATATGTAGGACAATAATTTTAATCAAATCAGAGATAATCCTTTACTCAATACATAAATTGTTCTGGTACTGTCATCATTTTTTTTTTGTAATCTTCAGTTATAAATGTTCCGTATTATATAGTTGAAATATTGGTACAATAACTGAATAGATATGACAGTTGAGACCTTGATATAATAGCTAGACAGAGATATAATTTAGTTGAGACCTTGATATTATGGTTGAACATTATTCAAAAAATCCAGTCTTCTCACATAAATGATACAAAAATCTAAGCTAAGCCGAATATTTTCACTAGGTGTACCTTAAAACTATTAATAAGCTCTCCAGTTAATGTAAAATCCAACTCATTTGCACTGTGTTCTATGTATTACAGTGTACCTCGTAATCTTTTTTTTTTTATATCATATACGGTGTACCATTTTTTAATTTTCAATTTGACATCACTTGCACGTGCCGTTTGTGCACCACAAACTCGTGCGAGTATCGAATATTCATTTATGCAACCAAGCCAAGTTTACCAAAACTCGAGCGAGCTTAAACAAACACCAAGCAACGCCAAAATATTTTTAAATGAAGACCCACCTTATTTTATTAATTAAATAAAAATAGCTTCTTTTCCCCTCCCATATATAACTTTTCGTCCTTATATAATTTATTCTTATTAAAAACTTGAGAGACCACATGCAGTACGTTACTTTCAGTTCAACCTTTCTGTAGCCAGTAATTTACCACTTCCTTCTTGTCTTTATGACCGGTGTGCTATGAATGAGTTTTGGCTTTTATAATAATATCAGAAGATACCCACAAGGTGTATAATACGTGGACTTCCAAATTCCTATCATTGCCTTCGGGTTCTTAAGGTAGGGTTTTTTTTTTACAGATCCAGTATAATGATTACCATGTTAGTTGAGGTTTATGCCATGCTTGCCCTTGGAGAGTAGAGGATCCATCAAAATGAGATATTACTACCACCGCATCATTTACAGCAATACCCAGTTTAATCGCATTCATTCTCATAGTGAAAAGCTCGATATAGGCTGTATATTCTATACTATCATCACCCGTAGCACATATCATGTCCCCTCCTATCAAGATGTATGTATAGCATTGTTATTTCAAGTGACAAATTGGCTTTGGTTTTCATGATCATTAATCGATTATTCTCAATTTCCATGCCATCACAGTGGTCTGTGTCATCCTCTTGAATAAATTTTATGTAGGCATCTATCTCGACTTTGCTCAACTCGATCCTCATCATATTCTTTTTGAACAGACTCTAATTATGCAGTGGAATCCACATCCTCTGTCACTACATGTTTTAAATCATGATTGTGTTTAAATGTCCAATTCTATATAACCCTTTGTGCATTCGGATTTTAGCGTCTATTTGTGGATCTCTGTCCTTTTTGCTGGTAATTTTGATTTTCCTTATCTGAAATTGACCATATTTTTTTCGTACGATCCAGGCCTTCTTGGTTAACCACAGGAGTGTCATGTAATTCGTGTGTAAACAGCTATTTGTGTCCTAAATCTACCTTATGGTAGATTAAGGGACTGGCATACTGATGCAAGGCTTCTTGTTAACCTGACTTCACATTGATCCCAAAACAAAAATTCTCCTCCCTGATATCTCGTTGTGTGAAGAGACTACCCTTCGTACTTGATCAATAGAGTTAACGAGAGTGTGTTTTCCCATCGTCCAAATGCAGTTCAATCATATAATTGTTCCACTTGTTCCCGAATTTTTTAAAAAGTTGTATTCTTTTGGTATACGACGGTAATTCAAATTGAATTGTACAATTTCTTCGGTGTAGTAGCGCGTAGGGAACAATTGAAGAGTGAGTGATGTTGAAAGCAATTGAATAGAGTTGGTCCTTTAAAAACAAAATAACGGTTCTGGTGGGTGCGCTTAGTTACACAGTCCGTGACTTTTTTTTTTAGAATTCTCCTGAGTTGAAACCCAGAGCGAGTTTGCATGATTGCTGCGCAATAAATAATCCACACTGCTAAAAAAAAAGGTATAAATAAGGTCCATTTTTCCTCGACTTCGTCCTTTTTTTTTCTTTCTCTTCGTCAAGTCTTCAGACCTCTGACACTTATGAAAATTGGAACAATACAGAGAAGATTAGCATGGCCCCTGCACAAGGATGACACTAAATCTCTGAGAAGGAAGCTCTACGGAGCTCATTTTTATTGGGTCAGGACGTGCTTCCACCTTCTCGTGGTCTGGCCTGTTAACCAACTATTTTATGTTGGGAACTAGGAGAAGCGCTTGTAAGTTTACTATCTTTTATTCATAACAAAGTATCTATTTTCCTGTGTTTCCTTATATTTTTGTAATTCACATCTTGTTTTTCTCAAAAAGCTACTGTGCATAGTTGCGTGAATACGGAGCTTTAAAAGTGGAGACAGTTTTTATTTGGTTTGAAAAGTAGCTTTTTTTTTCTTGTCCTTTAAAATTCCATTCCTCTTCTAACAAAACCACTTGATGTTCAAAAACATGTCAAACAACACCAACACTTTACTTTAAACAACACCCATGGACCTTTTACTCCCAGTTTATGTAACCTATATTTGGTTCATGGAAAGTCTTTACAGTTTTTATTGATGCATTCTTTTGACCGAACAGTTAATGCTTTTACCAACTTGTACTTACACTTAAAAACAGTTTGAAAGTAAAAAAAAAAAAAAGGGAATAGCTTGTCAACGATTCACTTTTTCTCTAGAGAGTGATTCTTCCAAGCTAAGACCTTTTTATGATTACCGTTATAATTTAAAGAATATGAGGCGTCTTTCAAAGAACGGTATTTTCTCTACCACACGAAAAAAAAAGGTGCAGCAAGACAACCACTCGTTGTAGCAGTAATGTCAATACACATGAGTCAATAGCAATTCTAATGCACGTCCATTCACACATAAAGCGCGTACAGTGATGATCAAGGCGACAGTCTGATATAATATGATTATAACAGCCCGCAAGATAAACGTACGTGATTGTCGTATTTGATGCCTAAATAAATCGAATACAATGTCTATGTATTTAATCTGTCTTGAGATATAATATTCTTCATATGTTAAAACAGACACAGTACCAGCTTTGATAATCTTCTGCCTGCAAATTTTATCCTACATTGAACCCCAGTTGGTTGTTATCCTGCAGTTCCTTCTAGCTCCTCTTATGAGTAATCAAGCAATCCAACCAACGCACATATTGCTGAATGACCAAACGATTTCTGTGCTAGAAATTCCGGGCATACAACCATAGGTTTACATGTGAAACTTTGTAAGCGATCTCGGCTCTCACGTCAAAAATCGGCTCAAGAAAAAGTGCGTCTATGAATTACCTGATCTTGAACACGTGGTTACCATTGACGACGACTTTAACAGATTGGTTAAGAAGGTTAAATTTTTAACAACCCATGACATATATTGATGACCTATTAATGTGTCATTTTACAGGCACTCCAGGCGAACTAGGTCAACATGTTCAATACTATCAATACTCAGTTGACCAGCAGCCGTCAGGAGGAATTTATACAGACACATGTAAGTGGCAACTTTAAGAAATAGCGGTGGCTAGCATATTCACCCATTGCTTTAAATAGTCTCCAGCAGAGGTCATATGCTCATCGATAGTTATCTGTCAAAGTGTTCTGAATTATCCATTATCATTAGATACTGGAGTCCGATAGTCCAAAATCAGAAAGGTTGGCTTATCACTAAAACCCGTGAGAATTGTGCAGTATA